TTGGGAATCAGAGCAACTGTAGATATACTTCAGATAAACCCGAATGCCTTAGACAGTGAGGCATAGAGCAAAACACTAACCATTAGTTCGGTAGCGCTGCTCCAAGATTGTTTTATTATTCTCTTTAAAGATTTTGTTAACTGCTTTCTCAATATCTTCTGGAGAAACTTCAATCCCTGTTCCAAAGCAATAATAAAGATATCATCTCCAAATCCATGGAAAGACACAACAAAATGTAATCTCAAAGCACTGGGTTAACAAAGTAAAATAGAATCCCTACAAACGTTGGCATTAAAGAAAGATATTTAATCCAAGCTCATAAATGCATACACAAAAGTTCTTACCAACACCACATGCCTCTTCAAATTCATTTAGCTTGAAATCCTCAGAACCAGTATTGGCAAAAAACGAAAATGCAGCTTCCAACTGGGCAGGAGTTTTAATCTGCGGATTCATCAAACAGAGAAAATGAAAACAATGTTCGCCCGTATAGAAAAGAAAACCTAACCCAATTACTGAAAGTTCCCGCAGATTACATTCAAGGAGCCACTAGCCATATACAAACCTTAGAGGTAACAATGTACTTGAGCAATGTAGGACGATGCACAAGAGCATTTGCAGGGTACTTAGTAGCGACCTGTTACACATGATTTGCAAAGAGAATATAAACTCAATTAAGTTTCATATAAGCATTGACAAAAAAAGAAATACTACAAAAGCTTTCAATTAACTAAATCAGAAATATATCTCACCGAGTACAACAAGTTTCCTGTAGTTCGATCGCAACCATCAGTGACAGCAGCCTGTACACAAGTCAAAGCCTCGTTAAAAAAAGAGTTTCTCAATAATGCAATTGTATTGGCAAGTGATCAAATTTCCAACAGAAACAAACATGCAAAGGAGTATAAATCATCAAACTAAGGATTGGATCTAGTCAACAGAATAACAGAAGGTTATAGTTTCTCAAACGAAAATGCAAAACTTAGTCCTCTTCTATCCAATATCCATCAGATAAAACAAGAGGCAATCTCGAACAACAAGAACATCAATAGCGAGAGAAGAAGAACAAGGGGGATGAGAGAGGGAGAGAGAGAACACACCTCGTGTATAACGGCAGTGAGATTGGAGGTGACCTTGTTGTTGTTTATGGTATTGCTCGCTGTTCTCTCATCCAAACCAATGCTGAGAAAGAGCTCAAGAGATTTCTCGGAGTTACCGTCTTTGAGAACCATGGCGCCGAAACTGACAAAGTAACAGAACCGAGAAATGAGACCTCTTTAGGGTTTTAAAATGCTAATGGTGTGTGGAGGAGACGATGATCTCTTCTATGGTTTTACAGTTAACCATATGTAACCAAAGTAATGGGAGGATATCTAAACCAGATTGAATTTAAACCGAAGCTGGCTTGATATAAAAAAAGGAGATAAATTTGGTACAATCGAACCGAACCATAAATATGAAATGCAACCGAATCCAGACCTTGTCCGAGCCATCGCCAACCGCTACGCCGCGAATCTCCGTCTCTGTTTACCTATCAGACGAACGTCTCTGCAACTCGCGCGAGCCGTTCATGCCAATATCATTACTTTCGGGTTCCAGCCGCGTGCCCATATCCTGAACCGTTTGATTGATGTTTACTGTAAATCGTCAGAGCTTCGTTATGCACGTGAATTGTTCGACGAAATCTCTGAACCAGATAAAATCGCGAGAACCACCATGGTATCTGGATACTGTGCTTCAGGGGACATCACTCTCGCTCGAGGGGTTTTCGAGGAAACCTCAGTGAGTATGCGAGACACTGTGATGTACAATGCGATGATCACTGGCTTCTCTCATAACAATGATGGCTACTCTGCTATTAAACTGTTTTGTAAGATGAAGCACGAAGGGTTCCAACCCGATAACTTCACTTTCGCGAGTGTTCTTGCCGCTTTAGCTCTAGTTGTCGAAGAGGAGAAGCAATGTCTGCAGTTTCATGCTGCAGCTCTGAAATCTGGTGCTGGTTCTATCACGTCGGTTTCGAATGCTCTGGTGTCTGTGTATTCGAAATGTGCTTCTTCGCCGTCTCTGTTACATTCGGCTAGAAAAGTGTTTGATGAGATGCCTGAGAAAGATGAGAGGTCATGGACAACTATGATTACGGGTTATGTAAAGAATGGTTGTTTTGATTTAGGGAAAGAACTGCTTGAGGTGATGGACGAGAATATGAAGGTGGTTGCTTATAATGCTATGATTTCTGGCTATGTTAATCGCGGGTTGTATCAGGAGGCATTGGAGATGGTTAGAAGGATGGTTTCATCGGGAATTGAGCTTGACGAGTTTACATATCCTAGTGTTATAAGGGCGTGTGCCACTGCTGGATTGCTTCAGCTGGGAAAGCAAGTTCATGCTTATGTATTAAGAAGGGAGGACTTCTCGTTTCATTTTGACAATTCGCTAGTTTCGTTATACTACAAATGCGGTAAATTTGATGAGGCAAGGGCCATTTTCGAGAAAATGCCAGCAAAAGACTTGGTTTCTTGGAACGCTTTGTTATCAGGGTATGTTAGTTCTGGGCATATAGGTGAGGCGAAGTTGATTTTCAAAGAGATGAAAGAGAAGAATATCCTTACCTGGATGATAATGATATCAGGGTTAGCCGAAAACGGGTTTGGAGAAGAAGGTCTGAAGTTGTTTTCTTGTATGAAGAAAGAAGGTTTCGAGCCTTGTGATTACGCTTTTTCTGGGGCAATCAAATCATGTGCCGTGCTGGGTGCATATTGCAATGGGCAACAGTTCCATGCCCAATTGGTTAAAATAGGGTTTGACTCGAGCCTTTCTGCTGGAAATGCTCTCATTACTATGTATGCTAAATGCGGAGTTGTGGACGAAGCTCGACAGGTTTTTCGAACTATTCCATGTTTGGATTCGGTTTCTTGGAATGCTTTGATTGCTGCTCTGGGACAGCATGGACATGGTGCTGAAGCAGTAGATGTGTATGAGGAGATGTTGAAGGAAGGGATAAGACCTGATCGGATTACATTGCTTACAGTTTTGACAGCATGTAGTCACGCGGGTTTAGTAGACCAGGGAAGGAAATATTTTGATTCGATGGAAACTATTTACCGTATACCTCCTGGTGTAGATCATTATGCAAGACTTATCGATTTGCTCTGTCGATCTGGGAAATTCTCTGATGCGGAAAGTGTAATCAAATCATTACCTTTTGATCCTACTGCAGAAATCTGGGAAGCTCTTCTTTCTGGTTGCAGAGTCCATGGAAACATGGAACTAGGGATCATTGCTGCAGACAAACTCTTCCATCTCATACCAGAACATGATGGGACCTACATGCTCTTATCTAACATGTACGCAGCTACTGGCCAGTGGGATGAAGTGGCAAGGGTACGTAAACTAATGCGGGATCGAGGGGTCAAAAAGGAAGTGGCTTGTAGTTGGATTGAAGTGGAGACACAAGTGCATACATTTTTGGTGGATGATACATCGCATCCAGAGGCAGAAGCTGTTTACAACTATCTTCAAGAGTTGGGTAAAGAGATGAGGAGGCTCGGATTTGTACCAGACACGAGCTTTGTGTTGCACGACGTAGAGTCTAATGGTCACAAGGAAGATATGTTGACTACTCATAGTGAGAAGATCGCGGTTGCGTTTGGGCTAATGAAACTTCCTCCGCGAACAACCATTAGGGTTTTCAAGAACTTGAGGACTTGTGGAGATTGTCATAATTTCTTCAGGTTCTTGTCGTGGGTGGTGCAGCGAGACATAATCTTGAGAGACAGGAAGAGGTTTCATCATTTCCGAAATGGCGAATGTTCTTGTGGTAACTTCTGGTAGACGAGGCTTTGGGCAATTCATTAAGACTTCATTTGTACACTTTTTAGCAAGGAAAAAGGAGTAGTAAAGAAAGCAGAGACTGAAGGAACTGCTCTCGAAACTGTGTCAGATGTTGAAGATGACTTCCATAACAGATGCCATAATCATTGTTCTCAGAGATTGCTGCATCTCCTCTAACAAAACCTTAAACCTTGATAATAACTTGCTTCTCAAGGAAACAAGTCCCCTTCTCAACACCCAAAATATTCACCTAAACATCCATTTCTACTCGGAAGCTCATCTTGGCTCTCAACGTTGGTTCCATATTATTCGTTTATTCAATTTTAACCAAGAAGAGACGAACAGGTTCACTAAATAAGTATTCAGGTTCAGATTAGTCCTGTCTTGAAGGGCTATTCTGCCAATGGACCACTCTGTTACTCTGTATTTGTAAGCTGATCAAGATGCAAAAGAGAATTGAAGGTATTAAAATTTCTTGTTTGCAAAAAAAAAAAAAAAAAAAAAAAAAAAGTAGATTATTAAATTAAAACCAAACGTGACGAAGAATTTGATTATATTAAAAGACCAAAAGAGCCAACATTTCCAAGGTTGTCGTCTATCTTTCTTTTTTTTGGGTCTAAAAAGCCCACAATTCTTAACAGATCTGACCTGAGTTTCAGATTATTTACAAAGTTGAAGAGTACATATATAGGTTTTGGCCATAGAATAATAGTGATAGTGGTAAAGAGCAAGTCAACCACAACCCCACCTTTAAAGAGCCAAGTTAAGCACGGCAATTCTTGTACCTAAACCAACCAAACCGGAAGAAGTGAACCAGCCAAAGAACGAGTCAACAAAACTCAACTCAATAAAGCGGAAAACTAGCCAACGCGGGAAAAAAACATTGTATAACATCATCTTCCTGGACATTGAACCAAACCAATACAACAACTCTGTTCCATTTTGCCAGTTTTGATGCACAAGTACATATTTGAAGCAAAAGGGAAAAACAAAAGACAAATGCCTTTTGCTTGTCTAAATCTCACACACACAGAGTTCTTATGGGTTTTGCCTCTGTCGGTGCAACAATGTCACTCAAAGACAAATCAATCTCGGCTGCTTTCACTAATTAATCGGCAGCAAGCAGATCACACTTAATTAAGCACGCATGTGAGGAATCCGAGAGAGATCGAGAAAGAACACTTATTATAGCTAAAAGATCTGTTCAGAAAGAAAGAAGAAACCTTTGTAGTGAATGAAGAAACATTAATGTTATGTATTAATCAACCGGAAGAACCTAAACATCCCCAATAACTTCTTTTTTTTTTGTACATTTTTTATTATTTCAGAACCAATTGGGAAGAAAGAAGAAGAATTAAATCAAAGATTAAAACGAAGGAGGCTTCAAGAACTTAACCCAGATTCAAATATTGATAAACTTCAACGGAAAATTGAATTACAAATCCTCAAATTCTTCATCATCATCATCTCTGTAAAAAGCAACAAAGTAATCAGAATCTTTCAAACCAAAACAAACAAAAAAAAGTCTTAATGCTTTTTGATCCGTGATGATGATGATGATGATACCTTCGTTTCTTCTGGAACCTTATATGCATCAAGCGTCACTTCAGTCAGATACAACCCAGGAAACAAACTCTGCAAAAAAATACACCAAAAAGAATCCAAATTTCTCTCAGTCACGAATACTCAAAAAAATCAGCAAATTCAAGAAACACAAAAATCAGAGAAACTTACATCGAGATTTTTCTGAACGGCTCTTGCCCGTTTCTTAGGCCGACGCGATGGTCGCTGACCAAAAATCCCAATGAAATCTTCTTCGATCTCCTTCTTCGTTAGCCTCATAGCGAACTTAGGACGCACCTTCTTCGTCTCCGCTTCGACCACTCCGCCTCCTCCTCCTCTCAACGACGGCGATGGCTTCACCACTACCCTCTCCTCCTCAATCGCGATTCCCTTATCGGTTTGGTTCTTCAAGCTGTTCGAAACCGGTTCTTTACACGCTGCTCTTCGTTTCCTTAGATTCCATGGCTTCACCGGAGATATCTCCTTCTCTTGACCGGAACCTGAACCGGAGCCGGAACCGGAACCGGCGATTTCTTCTTCCTCTTCCTCCTCCTCCTCGATTACGTCTTTTTGATACATGGATTGTGTGATCTTATCCCTCACCGTCTTCAGATCCGACATAAGCTTCACCCTGAACTCCTCGATCCCTTCCTCGCTCCCAGATTTAAACGCTGCGTTTCTGCTCCGGCGCTGATCAGAGCCCCCGAATCGAAACGGGATCGAGACGGAAGAATCGGAGTATTTCAAAGGCGGAGATCGGCGCCGTAGTCGGTGATCGCCGCCGGAGACTCCACCGTTGTTGCTGGTGATAGAGTCGATCTTCATGCACTTGAGATGTCTCTGGTTACCCCATAAGTTCGGGAGAGGGAAATTGTGAAGAGACTTCGATCTTTGCTCAGGTCTCGTCGTCGTCGTCTCACCGGGAAACACCATTGATTTCGCTGCACTTACTCTTCTTCTTCTTCTCTCTATTCCGATCGACGAATCACAATATCTCTCTCTCTCGCACGAGAAATCGTTGTTTCTTCAGAGTCGCCGGATAAAATTGTTGCCGGCGGTGGTGGCTTTGGTTTTTTCCTTATTTTTTTTGGTTATGATACCGCCAGAGAAGGGGCCAAAGCTTTTGTTTATATAGCAGAGTTTAGAGAGTTTTTTCGGAAATCTATACTGGATCGGAGGGTATTTTCGGTATTTTTGTTAAAATTGTTCGCTAATATACGCATGTGCTTTGGGGTTTACATTTTTTTTCCCGGGTTCTATAACATTTCCTTTTTTCAAGTTAGACGCTGATTTAATAGCCGTCCGGTTGGTTTTTATCTTTCATCTTAACCGTTTATCATCTTATAAGCCTTTTGTTTCCTTTTTATGTTTTGGTTTGAGTTTACTCCTCTCAAGTTTATAATTACACTTCTACTAGGTCAATTTTTTAAAATTAATATTCCGATTTTTGTTTTTTGTCGAAATTTGATTGTTTATAGGATTTCTATAAATTTGGCTACTTTGATATTTATCTTAGGTCTATAATAAATCTCAGTAATTTTTTACTTTCTTTTTGGTTGAATTACTGAGAAACTAATTTACATGAGATTAGTTTTCCGAGTTGAATTTGGATTAGAAGAACCAACCAATATCTTAACTACAGAAACTGAATATAGCGTTTTCAACATAGGTGCTCAATCTTAAAATTCTTATGCTTTAATTACGAAAAAAAAAAAGATTTCAAATTTTACCTGGGACATGTTTTGCTCGAGAAAATAATCTGCAGTTACCTTGATAAAAAAATGTCAACTAAAAAATATTTTGTATTAATGAATTTGAGAAGTTTCCATTATTCATCTAAACATCAGTTAAGAATTTCCTTAGTACATTAGTAACATTAGTTAATAAAGCAAGTTAAAAGTCAACTTTCCATTTTTTTGAGTGTTTTTAATACTCTAATAATGAAGTGGAAGTTCATAAAACGGGATATTGCCAAATTTACTTACCTTTTAATAGTATGATGATTTATAGATCCCTACCATTCTTCACTTTTGTAATAGTAAGATTTATAGATCCCTACCATTCTTCACTATCATCACTTACTCATCAAGATTCAATCTGATTCTTCCTTTTAGATGTGTACAGAAGAAAATATCCAGCTCCTGCAGCTATCAGTGACATTATAAGACCTTGCTTATTGATCTTGCATGGTATCTGGCTACTGATATAACCCGCTGTCCACCGTATAGCAAAACGCAATCCGCAACTTGCTTTGAACTTCCGGATTGAGAATCCCTGGACCAATTCAATACAATAAGCAGTGAAGGAGTGGTAATAACTTTGCTATAAACCTTCGGAGTTTGTCTTTTAGCGACATGTTTGTTCCCTGAGGATCCATCTTTTTGTATGCATTTGGATTAAAGAAACAAATGAGTTTTACCTCTGGTAACTTGTTTTCTACAGCCAGATTGTCGATATGCAGCCTTACGTTTGATGATGCAGCCCACCAGAATCTCCGATCTACACTTGCGTACACACTGGCAACTATGTCAAACAACGTCTGAGCTCCATCCTCAGTGGCCTTTAGGATGGATTCTTCTCTGTTTCTGCGATTCCTGGAAAACAAGATCATTCCTCCTTATTAGGTTCCCTCGAGATATTAACATAAACAGGTTTTCAAAATTCAGATTTCTCCACAACAGCATATTCTTATTCATACTCGAGATATCCACAAAGCATGTGCTTCGGCCACAAATTGACCCTTCCATGCATGGGAATCACCACATGTGGAGAAAGCTCCAGGAATTTATAAGTCGACTGAAAGTATTCCTGCAAACGAGAAATGGAAAATAAGGAACTTGCAGACAAAAATGGAAATAAGGACCTTACATTGGTAAATGACTAAACAAATTTGAAATTTCGAACAAGCCAATAAAAATATGCAGTACTATCTTACTGAACTTCTAATATTGAAGGAGCAAATTTTTGAAGTACGACGCTACTAGAATGCATCCCAATCTATTACACTATTACAGGTCAACCCTCACACACTAAGTTCGGCATTGAAATTTATTCAAAATACAAAACAGCCTGAGCATACTTAGTAGTTAGTACTTACTGTCATGTTACCACCTCCCCTGATGTCCAAGGCAGCACTTCCTTGACTGAAAAAAAAAAATGGTGATTTAACATTTCTTGAGCCAACCTAGTTTCACTGACTTGAATTGGCCTATAGCAACAAAAAAATTCTGAAGTTACATGTCTTACCCAACACAATGATCACCAACAATCAGCGAATGAGAGGAGACATGAAGTAGTGCTATATGGCCGTCTGTGTGTCCCTGGAGTATATTTCTTAGTTAAGACTTTATCACAACGTATACCTATATCTGTGCAGCCAATCTGAGACTTGCCAAGGATTTAAAATAGCTGGATAAGTACCGGAGCAAAAATGACGGTCAATCGCTGTCCGTTGACATAGATGTTTTCTCCTCCAGAAACTGGGGTATAGTTACCAGACCAACCACCTGAAACAACACAGTATTCAGACATAAGAAATTGGATCTCATAAATGGAAAACAATATTGAAGAATGATACCAATGCGATGCCTAGTTTTGATATGTGCCACTAGAATAGCATCAGGATTGCTCTCTTGTATAGCAGAAAGACCTGAAACACATATCAAGAGGAAGATGATAGGCAAAGAGAAATATAAGTTAGATTCATATTCAAGAGATGGTAAGAAGAAAAACACAAGAAGCCACCAAACTAGGATGGAAAACACCAGATCCCTACCATCAATGTGATCACGATGGTGATGTGTAACAAAGACAATTAGCTTTCTAGGCAACGCATCAACGATTTTCTTAAGCTGGTCAAGAGAAACCAATGCATTTGTGAGTAGTTTAGATTGACAAACGTAAAGACCAGATTGTTTAAGATAATGAGAAGATTTTTTGTACCATTCTGAATAGAATAAAAGGATATACTACAAAGAGCGAAAAAAAACCACATAGCTTAACAAACCTCAACGTGGAGTTTGTAGAGGCATCCAGGATCCACTATCAATGCATCCCCATGAGCTGCAAAATCAGCCCCTTGATGATCCCCTGAACCATTTTCTGGAGCAAACACAACCAAATTCGTTGTCTTGAAAGGTTTCAGTGTCCTGCTACGCATTGGCACAAGCATAACACCAGGCGGATATTCCTGAGATTAAAAAAGATATAAAAAATGGGATTCTATAAAAAGTTAAACCTGAAAACACTTGGAAGAAGACAAGTATAGCAACAAGAGACCTGGATAGGCAGAGAAGATGACAACTTATGCTTCATGGACTGACGGGAATCATCGCCAAGTCCGAGTAGTACTAATGGCCCAACACGATCACTTCCCGGTTTAACATCTATAAGACAGTCAAAGCATGCTTCCATGGACATCCACTTATAGCTGTCTGCAAAGAATCAAGTAATGCTATATCAGTCTACTTTTCAGTTTCCATATCTTAATGTTCGAACCAAGAAGCTATTTCTCTAAGATTGTATACTATTGAATAAAGGGCAACCTTGAAAACTTCGATTTGTATGATCCAAGAGCTTCCCGGCAATGAAACAAGTACGGACGCAGGGGCCAGGTCCAAACTCAGGCTCCTCTACATACCTGACGAATCTCCAATCTCCTACATCGCTTAAACCAATCCCTAAATTCGCCAACAGCTGCATTTTTACTCGGAAGCTTTAACTCGAAGAAAACAATGAAAATTTGTGAGAAGGAGCACTGTGCTAAACTCGTAACTTACCAGAATCAGGGTGGATTCGAAGTCAAAATTCATCAAATCAACCTCCACCGAGCACGATTCGAGTACAGAGAGTGTAAATCCGGACCTGACTCCATCTTCTAGAACCGGTAAATTTGTCGACGGCAAGTCCCAAAGATCGGAATCGACGAAGCAATCATACGCTTCATCCCCAAATTTCGCCGGCTGTTTTTGCTTCTCGACCAGGAACTCGTCGCTAAGGTTCTTGTTGATGATCATTGCAAGTTTCGGATTACCCATTTCTGCAGAATCTGAATTCCAAATGTGTGAAGCTTCTTCTTAGCTTTGAAAAATCCACAGAGATCAAATAAAATGATGACCGTTTAATACTTCACTGTTTACGCGACCGCTCAGCTGTCTGCTTCGCCTTTATGGGTGTTGTAGGTAAGTCGCCCATGAACATTTCTAATGTTTTCATTGGTTTTTGAAGTTTGAGCGGAAACCAAATCGGATAAGCTGTTAAATTGCGGTTTAACTTGGTTTAATTCGGTTAAACTCTTCAATTATTGGGATCTTCAATTTTCCGTATTAATCCTGATCAAAATCAATAATCAGATTACAATTTTGTTCGTTAGATAGATAATTTGTTTGTATTTTTTGGAATTTCTGTATAAAACAAGTTTTTTTTTTATATTAACTGTTTTGCTTTTTACAGTTTTTTGTTTAATTACTTCACTTTCTTCTGAAAGAGTGTTTGTTTAGTCAATCGAGCAGAGAGGCAAAAGTGTATCTTGGGTTGTGTGTGTTGTTGCTGATGAGTGACGTCATCTCAAACCAAGTGTGACGACGCTTCCTCTTCTTCGATCGGAATCAATCTTATCAGAGTATTAATATTATTTCAAGGTCCCATTTCTCTTTGTGGTTTTGGACTTGGGACCGCCTAAATCGTACGCAACAAAGTCTCTTCCTTTACCCGTCTACACGTTCTTCAACCAAATTTCAGTTTTTTCTACGGGTCGGGTCAATGTCAAGAACGACGGGAACTCTATATAACCATCGATTCGCGCGGCCGAGTTTCTCATCATCTACTGCTGGATCTCGTTTTCATTTTTGAGTCAAATTCCTTTGAAAATTTCCCCCCAAATTGAGTTGATTCTAGGGTTCTTAAGATGATTGAACATGGGAACTCAGCTTTTGATTACCGGAGTATTAGAGAGGTTGCTGCAAACGCCGGCGCAGGAGCCACCGCTGGTTAGTTCGATTTATATGTGTTGTTCCATTTGTGGATAGAGATGGGTTCTTTTGGGGTGTGTGACTGGTTTGATTTTTGGGAACTTTCAGGTGCAATCGCGGCGACTTTTGTTTGTCCATTAGATGTGATCAAAACAAGGTTACAGGTTCTTGGTCTCCCTGAAGCTCCAGCCTCTGGTCAAAGAGGTAATTTTGCTACAAACTGAGCTCAAATTTGCTTAAGAGTACAAGTAGTGGATGTAGCTGTAGATCTAATTTGTTAATGTGAGATTGTGTTTATGCAACTAGTTTTGTTTCTGTGGGAGTTGTTGCATGTTTGTTCAAGACTCTCTTAATGAGAGCTATGCCGATAGGTGTTAACAAGCTACATCTGTTTGAGATATCAGGTGGAGTAATCATTACAAGTCTGAAGAATATAGTTAAGAATGAAGGAATTAGGGGAATGTATCGAGGGCTTTCACCTACCATCATAGCTCTTCTCCCAAACTGGGCTGTACGCACCACTTTTCTCTTCCTAGCTTTCTTTTTTCAAGTGAATTTGTCTTGTAAAAAAAGAGATTACCTGCCCACCATTTTTTTCCTGGAGAGATATTAAGTCTTGTTATCGATATTCATCTGTTTTAGGAGAACTTTGGGTCTTTCTGTAATCAATATTCTGGTTTTACGCATAGGTCTACTTCTCAGTTTATGGAAAGCTTAAGGATGTGCTGCAGTCAAGTGGTTGGTTCTCATCACTTACAAATTACCTTTTTTGTATGCTTTGTTTTTGCTTATGTTTAAGCGGAAGAGTATCTGATACACTTGCTCAAATAATTATACCAAGTCTTTTGTATTTTTTTGTCTTTCAACTGTTTCTGTTTTCCTAATAGATGGCAAGCTTAGTATCGGGTCAAACATGGTAGCTGCGGCTGGTGCTGGAGCTGCAACATCTATTGCAACTAATCCGCTTTGGGTTGTCAAGACAAGATTAATGGTAACTTTTGTCTTCTATCTTTGGTTTCAGCTTTACTAGACATGTTGGGTTTTTTTCTCATATTATACTTTACCTAATCTCTTCGCCATTGTCTCAGACGCAAGGAATTAGGCCGGATGTGGTACCTTATAAAAGTGTAATGTCTGCTTTTAGCAGGATTTGTCATGAAGAAGGATTGCGAGGGCTGTACAGGTTAGTTTCTTAAATGAAACTGGATTTTCCGTTAGTGTGAACACCTTTTTCTTTTGATTTGTGCTTATGTTAAACAGTAGTTATATCGTTTACTTTTCCTGTGTTGGAACAGTGGCATTTTACCTTCTTTGGCGGGAGTAAGCCATGTCGCGATCCAGTTTCCAGCTTATGAAAAGATCAAGCAATACATGGCCAACATGGGTAAGACATGATCCTCCAGTATATATTGTTACATAATCATGTGCTCTCCCCAACTAGTTTCTGATCATAGCTAGTTTAAGTTCTCAGATAATACATCTGTGGAGAATCTGAGTCCTGGGAATGTTGCTATTGCCTCCTCAATCGCGAAAGTGATCGCCTCTGTGTTGACTTACCCACATGAGGTCTCTCTTCTTCCTCTCTCTTGTGCTCTCTTTACCTTACTATTAAGCTCATAACTAACTGACCCAACTATAAAATGGGTTTATGTTACATCCACAGGTAATAAGGGCCAAGCTTCAAGAACAAGGGCAAATGAGAAATGCTGAGACTAAGTATTCAGGAGTCATTGATTGCATCACAAAGGTGTTTAGAAGCGAAGGGATTCCTGGGTTATACCGTGGATGTGCCACTAACCTACTGAGGACAACTCCATCAGCAGTTATTACATTTACAACATATGAGATGATGCTTAGATTTTTCCGACAAGTTGTGCCACCAGAGGCTAATTTGTCGGAGGATTGCGAAAGAGAAGAACAAAGAAAGAGTTTAGTTAGTCGACGAGGAGAAGAAGAAGATAAAGATTTGGGTTTGAGAGAATCACAAACTCAATCTAATAAGATCAGCACTCCCCATATCCCTCTTGGAAGCAAATAATGCTTTTTCAGACTTGAACCATGCTTCATAGGTTTTTTTGTTTCAATGCCATGTTCGTAATTTTTTCCCATGCGGAATCGAGTTGTAACCTTTTCTTGTCGTTCTAACAAATGTGTAACCTATCAATAAATACTTTTTGGCCCTTTTGAATTTTGATGATCAGCGGGTATTTGAAGATGATATTCATTGAGGTATTCTCTGAGTTATACTTGAGATCCCTCTCCATCTCACACTCTCTATGTGCAAATTTGCAGGTTGTGGGGTTTATAGAAAGGGATATGGGCTTTGGATGGAATTTTGTTGGCATTGCAGATGTTAGAGGCTACTGTAACTTTGAAGAGATATATATCCTTGTTCTTTCTTAAAACTGGCGCTCCATTTACCACAAGGTAATGGATCTTCCTCCCCAGGTTATACTAGCTTTTAGCACTTTAAAGGAACAATGTGACAACTGAGGAAAGACATGTGCTTCCAGTAAGAGAGATTTTTGTTGGATGCCTTAGACTCTTGCCTTTTATTCCGATAATGTACCGGTGATTAACTAAATAGAAGAGGCCTGAAAGCAGTAGATAGATACTACTGAGATCATAAAGGAGCTGTGAATGTGAGTCAAGTTAACTCTTACAGTCAATTTTTTTGTTCTTTTTATAAATACCTTTTGAGTCAACATTACATACAGTAGACAAAATTAGACGTAGAAAATTGGTGATTGGTAGTTCAAGTTATGTCACTATGTGCAATTTCTCAGTACCTACAGTTCACAACTCTGTGCCTCATCTTATTATCATTCCGTTGACACAATTACGAAGAAACCTATACCTGGTGGATCCTAGAATTCTTAGGCGCTGGTATTCGGTGTGGTTGATTTACTGGTCCATTGGTCAGTCACGGAGATTGGAGAACGCGGGAATGTCATATTCTTTAATAGCGCATTCTCGCCCCAATCTGGTGGCGAAGGGTGTGTAGTTATTGTCTCCTCTCTGTAATCGTAGTTTTGACATTTTTGCTCCTCATTCTGGAATCCCTTTAGCTCTTGGACAACTTGTTCCATTGTGGGTCGCATTGTACTGTCTTGCTGCAAGCACTGAAAAGCCAACTCTGCCACCATTGTAGTCATTTTTGTAACTCCTTCATTCGTCGCATATCCAAGATTCGGATCAATCAGCTCATGGGTTGCGTGGTTCTGTATCTTGTTTATAGCTAAGCTTGATAGATTGATCTCACTCTTGCACCTGGTTATATCAACAGCAGGCTTCGACGATATTAGCTCGACAAGCACCACTCCGAAGCTATATACGTCGCTCTTATCAGTTAGATGATAGCACCGATGATACTCAGGGTCCACATATCCCGGAGTACCCTGAGGAGCAGTTGATACATGTGTTACATCACTCGGGAGCAACCTGGATAGCCCAAAATCTGCAACTTTGACTCCAAAATTCCCGTCGAGCAGAATGTTTGTAGTCTTGACATCGCGGTGTATGATATCCGAAGCGTGAAGGTAAGCCAATGCACTCGCTGTTTCTATGGCAATGCTCATGCGCATTGACCATGTTAAATAGCCTTGGTGTGGCGGGTTTTCGCCATAGAGATGATCTGCAACTGTGCCATTTGGAATATACTCATAGACGAGGAGAAGTTCCCGGCTGCGGCGTGAAGTGCATCCATAGAGGGAGACTAGATTCTTGTGATGAAGACGTGTGAGGATTTCTATCTCGTTCATGAATTGCTCAAGTCTTCTGTAATTGTGCTCATAGAGACGCTTCACTGCAACTTCTCGTCCATCACGCACTTTTCCTGAGAGAAGAAAAAGGAAGAAAAGATTAGCTTAATAGAGAGATGTGGCACTTTACTAGAAGTTAGTGCACTGATCATGTTACCATAATACACAGTGCCGAAGCCTCCATCTCCTAGTAATCTTTCTTTACTGAAGTTATTTGTTGCTTCTTGAAGTTCTTTGTAGGAGAAGATTGGTATCTTAAAGAAGACATGGCTAAACTCGACGTCAGATTTCGAGTTGTCTCTAGAGAGCTCTGGACCAGCTTTCCTTCTGCAAATCCTATGGATGATATAGAGTGCCATCAAGATGATTATTAAGATGAGAGGTCCGCCGATTCCTATGAACAATTAAAGAGGAAACTGATTTAAATTGAGTATTTCATGAAGAAAGATGGAACAAAAAAGGACATCTCTTTTTACCTAATCCCAGCTTCATCTCCTCGTGGTAATTTTTTTGTTCTGCAACAAAGTGGTAGAAATCGAATTATAGTCATATAGCCAAGTGTTTTGCAAGCAGAGTTGCAGAAGTAATGAAGATGTGTCATCGTGCTCATACCTTGGGTTACTCCAAGGCATTGATACTTGTCTTTGATCATCTTACATTCTCCACCTCGATTGTGGCAGCCAAAGCAGCCAGGAGGCAGATCTATATGAAGTGAGAAGCTAGCATTTACATCATACTGGTTCCCTTTTCTTGGAATCACCCAGCTCTCTGGAGCCTTGATAGCTGAACACCCAGAAACATCATGACCCTTCTCCAATTTATAGTACAAGCTGCTTCCATTTCCACCGCAATTCGCATAACTGAAACCATTCTTCATACTAGTGTTGTTGCATTTGTACAAAGTGGTCAAGCGGAGCCATGGAGAATCTGGGAGAGAAAAGCTTGACAAGTCTCTGCAGTTCCCGGATAGCAAGCTTTGGTTAAGCTCCGTGTCGGTGATGGTTATCGTGTTGGCTTGAGAGACGCTCTTGACTTTAAACCATTTCCCATCTTCTACAAGCTGTATCTCTGAAATATTTGCACTGCAGTTCAGCTTGAAAAGACCGCATCGAGACGGCATGTCTGTCTTAAAGAAAGGGAACTTGAAGTCGAGTTCTCCGCAGGTGAAATGTTCGCAAGCTTTCTGGCTCGTCCTCCTTGCTTCAGCCACGAAAAGGAGGAGAAATAAGAAGACCAAAACAGAGACAGTCTCCATAAGTGTTCTGATTACAAGCTTTGTGTGTTTTTCCGGTATTATCAGATCTGCAAAAGATATCAAGACTTTGGTTTCATGTTTCAGGAGATGGATCAGAAGTCTCCTACCCTATTTGTGGGGGAATTCAAGTTCTGAAAGTATGGTTCTTCTTCTTGTCGGTATTGCGACAGGCAAGTTGACTTTTGGATGAGGGATTCAGACAGAACTCTGCTCTAGAGGAAGACTATGTATGGTATATGAAGGTTTTGTTTTATTACCAAAGGATGAAGAAGATGTTGTGTACAATAGTCGTTGGTTCTTGCTGCTATATTGGACAATAAATTTAAAACAAAAAAAAAACCAAAGATTGGGTTTGACCGGAGACTCTGGTTGATTTATTAGAAAATTTCAAAATGAAATGCGTTTAACACCTTCGGTCGAAGTTGTATGTTCAAGATTTGATTTGACCACACAACTCTTATCTTCTTCGTATGTCTGTGTTATTGAGTTTTCCATTCCATTATTAATGCGTTTTAGAACCACTGAGACACACCTTTCGCTTTTGTTTCATCTTGAAAAGTCTTCTGATCCAACTTTGCTTTTTCTTTTTTCGTAAAAGTATTTATATTTTAATACTTTTAAAAAACAAAACATTAGTATTAAATTTAAAAAATATTTTTATTTATTTTTTGGTGACCCTTTGTAAAATATGCAGTTGTTTATGTTATTGGCCAAATAAAGTTTGAATATAAAACAATAAGTTACATTATTTATTAATAGTGTGCCCAAAACCTTTAAATAATATTTAAAATGTAACAGAGTGATAAATAATTTTCTTTTTAAGGTGTAGATTACATAATGTAAGGACAAAATAAATGAGCAGACCAATGATAATTGATTTATTATGTTTGGAGATGGCGAATAACATGCATAAATTATGTTTGTTTTTTTTTTATAATATAAATTCAGCTTGTAAGTTTTTTTAAATAAGTTAATGAGAGTCATGCATGAGACATCAGACACGTTCTGTGTAAAATAAGGACGACACGAGGGCTACTGGCCAACTCATATGTTCCGACTCATGTAATTAGCTAATTTGCTGAATTAAGTTAATTATATAACTGTAGTATGATATATCATTTGAGAAGGTGTAAGAAGGAAAATTAACCTAATTTGTGTAGAACTTTCAAACTCGACGACAAATTATCATAATTAAGTTGTGACAAAGAGAGCAGATAGAGATGTTCATAATCCAACAGTAAATGTGTTTATAACGCACGACCCACCCCACATGTCGGATTCAAAAATTGGCCATTAGTCAATTTTGGGATGTTGAATTTGGAGGCTCCTTTCCGAAGAATAACTCAAGCTGCCCAAAACTTTCTTTTTCATTCTTTTGGGCAAAATATTCAATGTCATATTAGTTTCTTTCGTTCGTTTATCATTTCGTAATCCAATTCCTTTAAATCATTTTGGTAATAGAAAACAAAATTTCCAGCACCTTCGGTTCGAGGGATCGGACCACCCTTCCAATAACTTCATACTGTATATTGTTCACAAGGCGTTTCTCCAATCAATAATCTTGACGAGAACAATACGTCAGTGAAAACTATTTTGAACTACTACCGAAAGTCCAAAAACCAAAGACTTTGTGTTTTTGTTTGCGGGAAAATGCATGTAAAGCACATAAATTTTATAACGTGACTTCAAAATTCCAATAACAAGAAAAAGAAGAGGGAAGGCCGAATTTCGCCTAATGTATCTAGGATGTCCAACCGAAATATGATCACACGTTCTGTTGGTTTGAAAGTCAAAATCTCCTCCGTCCATAAATTTTTAGACTAATGTTGTTACAACCAAGATAACACGTCTAGTCTCGTCTCGTCTCTATTCTTTTTCCCCGTAGATAACACGTTTCCATGTTCCGAGTTAATGAACCAAAAACAAAAGTTATCTTCCAAATTAATACGACATGATAAATATAATGACTTAGATATATACTGAACAGGTAAGATATATGTATATATATCATCATATCTCGGCTCCGGTAATTGTTTTGGCATGATAATTGGACTTTGCTTGGATATCACACGCCTTAATGGACCTAAAGTTTCGGGTATATCCCTTACTGCGAAGGTAGCTCATGTAGGACTGTAATGGCTCTTGGCTTTTACATAGAGCATCGTCATCCCACGGTTACATTACTCAAAGCATATGTTTACCTTTGCCCTCCACCTAATATATGTTAGTTCTCAAATAAACTCAGCTACCCCTACAACCTTCTCTTCGGTCTCGTACTTGGAAAAGTCTTCACCCGATGTCTGCCCCACCGGTTCCTTTGGTATTAGACGGGATAGTACTCTGTACTCGGAAAGAATCCCAAAGCATGCAATCATTATTTTTTTGTGCCTCCTTCGAGATAGATTTCCTACTTGGTGTAGATTAAGGAGTTTTTGGGTATTGGGAGATGGAGAATGGGTGATTGATCGAGATTAGCATAAGATATGGAAAAAGAAGATATGATTCTAGAAGACTAGAATAATCTAAAAGATATTAACATTTATCAATAATCGATTCTCCATGCATGCATCCATCTCCTATTATTTACGTACTCATAAATCATAATCATATTATCATCCAACAAATACTTCGAACAAACTAGCGGGTCTCAATAGATACCACTCAATACATCCGGTCGGCAGCTTCAACAACCCTTGTCCTCCACTAAAAAAAATATTCATTATGTTAGGATATATGTTAGTAGACAAGTGATATATAAGACAACAACGATATCCTCGTCAATGATGTGTTCTTATATTAGATTTATTTAAATTGTGAAAACTACAAAAACAAATACAATTGCTAACATGCATGAAGATCACTGAGATGACTACGTATTGTCTGCTTAAATAATACATAAATGATATAATATATAACAAAAAGAAAATTATATATAAATTCCAAAGATAATATTCAGCGGTTGGATATTGTTGTTGTCGGGTCGAGCGGTCACCATGTTTGACGAGGAAACAACACTTCAGCATCAGACCATAAAGCAGCATTAGTGTTATATCGAGATGTTGAAGTAGTTAAATTGGTAACATCAATGTTTACCGATTCTATGCAAGTATTACCTTGTGCAGCTTCTCCCTCCTCATCATTTCCTATGGTAGGAACATCCTCATTTAAATCTACACGTGACAAACAAATCCTCTCCAATTGCATCCAAACTTCTCTCATATTTGGTCGTTTCTTCCCTTTTCGATTCAGGCACATCTTTGCAAGTTTTGCCATCATCATGACTTGTTCTAGCTTGCAGTTATCTCTGATTCGAGAATCGATGATGTCGGAAATTCTATCATCTTTCATGGAAAGATTGAAGTAGGTTACCAATAATCTATTTTCTTCGGACCGTTGGAAAGAAACGGGCTTTTCTCCGGTGATGAGCTCTACAAGCACAACTCCAAAACTGTACACGTCGCTTTTCTCCGTGAACTGGCTGGATTGGAAGTACTCAGGATCTACATATCCGACAGTACCTGAAACCATTGTTGTTAGGTGGCTTTGATCAATGGTTATCGATCTTGAAGTTCCAAAATCTGACACTTTAGCTCGAAAATTCTCGTCCAACATAATGTTTGTTGATTTGATGTCTCTGTGATAAATCGGAGATGCTGCAGCATAGTGAAGGTATGAGAGAGCTCCTGCGACATCTATGGCAATGCGCAGACGTGCTTCCCAAGTAGTCAATGTGTGATCATCATCACACTCTTTATGAAGAAGTTCGAAAAGATTTCCGTTGGGAATGAACTCGTAAACCAAAAGGGGTACCTCTGTTTCAAGACAGCATCCTAGTATACGTACGATGTTGCGATGGTTGATCTGAGAGAGTATGACAATCTCGTTTATGAACTCATCCAGTTTATCTTCGTCCACAGCCTTGGATTTTTTCACAGCCACGATTCTACCATCAGCAAGAATCCCTTTGTACACTGTTCCTTGGCCACCATGGCCAAGCACCCTGCTTAAACTGAACGTTTCTGTAGCCTTTTCCAATTCTGTGGACCTGAACACTATTGTTTTCTCCACGTAGCCTTCTTTTGAAGCCAATTGTTGTTGCAACAAAAGACCTCCGTTGCGTTCAAAGAACCTTTTTCTGCGATTGGTGTTTTTCATCTTCACGTATAGAAATATTCCTCCACAGATCAACACGCTTGAAGTTATACCAACCCCTGCAAATCGACTAGAGATCAGAGGAGTAGGATAGTATTATATATTTGTATATATGTATATAAAATTAAATATTATATAGTTGAATGTGGAAAAAAAATTGAAGACAAATATCATATACTAAATAGTAGAAATAAAAACTCAGAAAATATATAACTCTTTAAGATAATAATAAGTTTAATATTATTATTTCTCTAAGAAGTTACATAAGAAAAATAAAATTAATATATAAATTACACTAATAGTTTTTGCTTGTGCCACAAATGTTACATAAGACGTTTAGGACACTGAATATATTTAAAATAAGTTAATGAAAAATAAAACTAAATTGGTAAGTTAAATATGTAAAATGTATATCATGCACATAACAAATTATTCCCATCTAGAGTGATCCACATCAAAAAGACTTATATAAAGTATATGTACTTTTACACAACTTTAAATTGCATAAATAGCATTTCACAATTTAAATACTTTCCGTTAGCTAATAAAAGTATCATAAGTGAGCATGATCAATGCGATTCAGTAATCCATCAAACCAAATGAAACAACTTTACAAAATGGTTTTCGAAAATGGTCATTCATAATAAAATTGTTCACAATATTTTTATATTTAGATAGTTTAGAAAATAAATTCGCAAAAAATATCTATAGAATATTGTGCTTTCAACTGTAATTATAGAACTCAAAACAGAACATCTCTTTTACCTAGTCCGAGCTTGATCCCCTCGTGGGATTTTTGTTCTGCAGCAAAAAGACAGGAAAATCAAATTATTGTCGCAGGATTGTAGAAGTATTGAAGATATATCTCATAATAAGTCATACCTTGGGTTACTCCAAGGCATTGATACTTGTCTTCGATGATCTTACATTCTCCACCTCGATTGTAGCAGTCAAAGCAGCTATGAGGCAGGTCTATATGAAGAGAGAAGGTAGCGTTTACATCATACTGGTTCCCTTTTCCTGGAATCACCCAGCTCTCTGGAGTATTGATAGCTGAACACCCTGGAACATCATGACCATTCCTCAAATTAGAGTAGTACAAGCTGCTTCCTTGTCCTCCGCAATTCGCATAACTGAAACCATTCTTCATACTAGTGTTGTTGCATTTGTACAAAGTGGTCAAGCTGAGCCATGGAGAATCTGGGAGAAAGAAGCTTGACAAGTCTCTGCAGTTCCCGGTTATCAAGCTTTGGTTAAGCTCCGTGTCGGTGATGGTTATCGTTTCCGCTTGAGAGACGCTCTTGATTTTATACCATTTCCCGTCTTCTACAAGCTGTATCTCTGATATATTTTCACTGCAGTTCAGCTTGAAGAGACCGCATCGAGACGGCATGTCTGTCCTAAAGAAAGGGAACTTGAAGTCCAGTTCTCCGCAGGTGAACTGTTCGCAAGCTTTCCGGCTCGTCCTCCTGGCTTCAACCACGAAGAGGAGGAGAAAGAAGAAGACCAAAACAGAGACAGTCTCATCCATAGGTGTTCTGATTACAAGCTCTGTGTGTGTGTTTTCGATATTCAGATCTACAAAAACAATCAAGACTGTGGTTTCATTTTTCAGGAGATGGTTAGACTTATCCTACGACCCTTTGCTGGGATGTATGGTTCCCTTCTTTCGTGGTATTGCGACGGCCGACAGGCTGGTTGACTTGAGTCTTCCATTGCATTGACTTTTTGATCCAACTTAATTAGTTTATTAACGAGGCCATATATAGACATGTCGTGGTTAATGAGCAACTCACTCTTTTGATCAAACTAATTATTTGTGACGAAATTATCGATTTCTTACTAGTCTATGAAATAAATTATTTATTTGTGACCCACTATTTGTATTATGCATATGTTTTTTGTTATCAGTTGAACAGATAATATCTTTTTGAAAGTAACAATACATTGTATATGTAACTTTGCATTAAGAGAAATTACCAATGCCTCGCCACCACAAAATATAATAAGATTGCTGATATCATCTCCCATAGACTTATCTACATATAGTATCTGGAGACCTAGGAGACTTCCGGTTAGTTGCAAACTCGATCCAACCCACGATCGCAAACGAGATTGCCATGAGCAATTGTTACCATCCCGAGCACCAGTTCCTCTTTCATCCATGCAGAAAAAACTTACATCTTTGACTTGTTTATTTTTACTTACTTCTTCCACTCATATGTATCGTGATAAAAGTGTAGAAATTGTAATTAAAGAGATGCAAGGCTTTTTTCAATCCATTATCTTGACGAGAACAAGAAACGAAACCCTTTTTCCTTTTTTTGTTTTTTGACTAAAAAGGCCGGAGATCAAATACATAAACTGGTGGAATTACGACCCTATATAGACTTTGCAATACTATGCACTATATGATCGTTACTAGTTAACCTTTAATTTTGTAACGTGGCTTCCAAATTTCAGTGACCAACAACCAAAACAAATGAATAAATTTCTCTAACCAAAATAACACGTTTTGTTCCGTTGATTAAGTCAAATGTATCGCGTCCATAACTTTCGCCTATTGTTATATCCAACCAAAAATAACACGTTTCCAGCTTTCTTTTCTTTTTCCGTAGATGATACGTTTTCCATATTCCGAATTATTAAACCCGATGACAAAAAAAAAAAAAAAAAGAGTAATCTTTATTTTCGAAGTCTTCTACCAATAAACATGAAATACAAAATACACGACAACAATAACTTGAACTTGTTTTCTTAATAAACAAAATAAGAGGTTTATACTAAAAAAATAAGAGGTTTATTTGTTTTCTTTTTTTGCCAAAAATATAAATACACTAAATAAGAAAAATATATACAAGACAGTTCAATTATGTACAAAATAATTTTGTTGGTCATGACTTGCGATTACGTTTGATTTTTACGTCACCTACCATGTCAATCATTTGTCACCAATAACGGCACCGTCAGCCTCAATGACGGCGTGCGCGTCTTCTCACCATTCTCTCAACCTCTGATGCCGTCAGTTCCGTCAACGCACCGTTAGCCATCCTCATGTCTCCAACTACAATCTCCCCGCCGACATCATCATCATCCCCGACGTAGATCTTGTCCACGTCACCCGCGTCAACCCTAATGATCTTCCCAAGCAACTTCCCAGGCTGCTTCCACTCCGCAAGCAACGCCGGCACCCGGAAACCCGCGCGTGAATCCCACGCACTCACTTCCACGTCGTCGGATCCTCTCTTCTCCGCCGCTAATAAAACCGTCGACGGAGACAACAACGTGTAAGAGCCGCATTTGCTTAAGAAAGAAGCTACCGCGTTACGGTGATGACTTCCTTCTCCGTTGAAATCAAGATTGTCCCATAGCTTCACGACACCGCTTGAGCCTATATCTAAAAGCTCCCCGAAGCTACCACTGCACCGCCGCAACCATGGGATGTTCCCATTTGTCTCATCGTCATAACCAAATCTTGTAACGCCATTGACCGAGTTATCTTCTTTGTCATCGTCATCATCCTTATCATCATCTTCGTCGTCTGAGGAGTCTGACGAGATAGACCAATCGGAGTCGCTATCGTAATCACGAAGAAGAGTAGTGGACGGTAGAGACACGTTAACGTTTATTAATCTAAAGACAAGAGTCTTGATTCTTGTAGTTAAGGACGTGAACGAAGCAAAAAATGCAAGAAGCAATAAAGCTGCCCATTTCCAGAAACTATAAGCTTGATGTAACTTTCCGACGCCGGAGACGGCTAAAGCTCGAGACAACACCGACGGGTCGTTTATCGAGTTTATCCCCACGTCAAAATCGCTTATTCTGTTTATTATCGGGACCTCCATTGCAGCAAATTTGTGTTTTTCCTTTGGTAGAGTAAGGTTTTTTTTTTGTTTTTTTGCTATATTTGGTAAGGAAGAGAAAAGTAAAGGAGAGGAGATTTTAGTATAGAGTCGTTATTGTGGATTTATATAAAAGAGAAATAAAGGTACGAAAAGAGAGATGACGTGGTAGATAAGTAGAGGATATGTGATGACACACTTTTAAAGACACGTTGGAGAAAGGCGGCAGGGGATCGGGGGATTTCGACGAAAGAACAAGAGGAGCGTCGTATTCGAAGGATAAGGCTTACAAAAACGTGAATGAGTCAGCCTACAAGAGCCTCTCCAACATTGTTATCTATGCACACGCTTCTACGTTTTTAACTTGTATGACGACCAAATAGTTACTAGTATTGTTTTTAGTTTTATTGTTACGTACCAACCGTGGCGGTTTTATATCTAACTACTAACGCTAAATACAGTTGCAATCAAACAAACGGTACAAAATACGATTATTATGGTCAGTTAGATGAGGTTACCTTTCGGAAAAGAGTATGACATGGTTGATATATATTATCATGCTTTATTACAAAAATTTGTATAAAAATGATTTGCTATTTCTTTTGTAAATTCATATACAGCTCATTGTGGATATTTTTTAACAGGGGAAAAAAAAAAACTATTTGACTTGATCTTCAATCTCTTGGAAAAGAGTCTAGCAAAATATATATTGTTTCTTGTTCTTTACCTTAGAAAACTAAATGTGGATTTATGCATGTTGACCACAATTATATCATATATCTTCTTAAAACTTCCTTTATTAATATTGAATTTTTCGGATCTTGTTAATTAGTTTGGTACACTATATGTTACATCTCTCGCGATAAAAGCATGAGTATGGCGGAGCTCATTAGAAATGTAGACATCTTTAAGAAGAGGAATATATATATATGAGGATCCAAAGATATCCTTTTGTATGCTTTTTATTTTCAATTAAACATGATTTAAAAGAGACACACACATATTTGAATTGGCATTTATCTCGAAGAAAAATAAATCGAAATGTAGTGCGTGAGTAAAAAATAAATAAAAATGCACTGTGTATTTTGAAAAAAAAAAAATCATGTAATACTTTTATATGAGTTCTTAAAATATTTGTATCACATATATATGACCTTTCTCATATTTTATGTTGATAGTAGATAGTTAGTGTCATATTGAGGTTCATTGGAGCCTATTAAAGTGAAAATTATGGCCGATTGTATCAAAGTACATACCACATTTAATCATGACATTGTCTTTCATAATGTTCTTTTCTCTATACTAAACACATTAAATCTTTTTCTTCTTTTTTTAGTAAGACCTTACATTTTTTCTTGAGGACAACATATTACATTTTTTTCAAAATATATATATTTCTTGCTATTTAACTAAAAAAACAAAAAAACAAAAAACAAAAAACACTACCCTTCCAACAAGAAACGCTTCACAGTATCCACGCTTACGTTGAAAACGTCCTTCTCCCAAATCTCGTCGCTACTCATTCCTTCTCCCAATTTCCCCGAACGCTTATTAAGCCCGGCCATAATGGCCGCTGTGGCGTCAAGCCTCTTGATCTCCCAACCGCCTCGTATCAGCTTCATGATCTTCTCTTTCTGTATTTTCACCAGCCGACACGTCCTCTCTTTCATCCCCTTCACAGCCTCCTCGTACGCTATCTTTCTTCCCAGGTCCCACGTTCCCTTGTTCATCTCCCTCGGGTACACTCGAAAGTATCGATCAAACTCCTCTACCCCTATAGTCTTTCGAACCCCAAGTCTCGGCCCTGAATCTACTATAGGGTCATAGAAAGCCGCGAGCTGCTCGACCAGTCCCGAGTCGATCATCTTGTCCACGCGGTTGCACAGGTGCTGGAACAGAACCGGCTCCGAGACATCCACCCAGAAGATGCAGCAGTTGTACCTCAGGTCCGAGCATATGGTTGAAAGACTTGAAGTAGGAGCGAAAGGATCCGTTTCCGGGTCAAAACGCTCAACAAGGAGAGCATGGTTGAAGGAATTTGATCCACCCACTATGATAGGGAGTTTCCCCCTCGAAACAACATTAGATATGCTCAATGTCGCTAAAGAGCGAAACTCTGCTGGGGAAAGTTCACCATCTTCCGGGTGAAACTCACCAAGGAGATGGTGGGGGACTCCACCTTGCTCATCGTCTGGGATGAGATTCGTCGCAATCTCCAGCCCGCTGTAGACTTGCATTTTGTCGGAGTTGATGATCTCACCGGTGAAATGGTTGGCGAGATCGACGGAGAGGCGTGACTTGCCTGTGCCGGTAGTACCAGTGATGAGGACCACCTTGTCCTTTGGAACGTTTGGCCTTGACTGGTCCATGCACATTGTCACCGATCGTGGCCGCCGCGAAATGGTAGTGACAGTGGAAAGGAGAGCATGGCAAGATGGGGATGAGAAGGTGAGTTCTGCCATTTTTGTTTGTTTGTTTGTTTGTAGAGATCACGAAACTCTTTCACTTTAACTTGAGGCTTAAGCTGTGGCCTCAGTGGTTGTAGTAGCCTTCGTATTTATAGTACGTTCATATTATCTATCTGTATACAGAAAACTTAGAATTATATGTTTTTCAACATGTTAATAAATGCAAATATACATGCATGCAAATCCGGAAATCCTTATATATTAAGATTGTGGTAGTAAGTAGTGTAGACACAGAAAGAGATAACTAAAACCAAAGTGTTGACAATGCGTAATATGATGATTGTCTTTAAGCTCATAAACATATTTGACAAATGTTCTCCATTCCATTGTTAGTTTCGTTGTTCTAACGTACATGTTTCTAAGTTATAATAAAAATTTAAACTTAAATTATTATATCACATTTTTGTTATAAAAACTAGAATCTACTATAGTACAGATGTAGATCATATGTAAAGTTTCTTTCTATAACTTTGTGTGTGAAGTGGTTTATTATTCTATTTGTTAATAACAGGTGTGTTGTTTTAACTTTTGTTTTTCTTTGTAAATTGACGTTTCTTTTGTCAGGTGATATATATTTTATTTTTTTTGTCAAATTTTGTCAGGTGATATTTGAAGTCTATTTTTTTGTTTTTTTGGGTCAAAGTCTCTAACTCTTAGGTTTTTAACACACATGTCTGTCACTCTGACATGCACAAAGAATTTTTGTTTGTTTTAAAAACACTAACCCGTAAACGTATGTTGACCCATATGAACATTGTTATATGAGTGGTGGTTGGACGGTTACAGTCAGTTACATAGTAAGCTGTTTAAAAACACACACAGGCATAGTCGAAACTTGTATGGTTCTCTGAAGCCAAACCAACACAAAGTCCTGGTTTTGCTATCCATTCTAATAATAATTTAGGGGGTTTTGATTTTAAAGGATGTTTTTTTAAAAATTTGTCCTTTTAGGCTTTCTGCGGTGAATTGTCAGTTATACCTAAATTATCCTTTTAAATAAATAAAATTAATTTTTAATTAATTTTTAAATTAAAACATATCAACAATTAAAGATTAATAAGATTTAAGGTTAAACAAAAGAGTTTTGGATGAAAGTATGTTGATTTTGATATTGAAAAAATCATTCTGCAATATTTAGAATACATCTTCTGTATTCTAAATATTTTAGATTATGAATTCTGCACACTCTACATGTTCTAAAAATTGTAGATTACAAATTCTTCGCATTGCACTTATTCTGAAAATTTTAGAATATATATATCTTCTAAAAAAATTAGAACTCAGGTTTGGTTGGTGTTCTACAAAATTTGGAATATGTATTCTACATGTTACTCTATATTCTACAAATTTTAGAATTTATTTTCTACACTTTACCCTATATTCTACAAAAGTTAGATCATCAATTCTACACTTTACTCTTTTTTCTTCATATTTTAGAAAATGTATTCTACGAATTTTTAGAACTATCTTATACAAGGAAATTGAATCCTAAATTAAAGGAAACAAAATATTTTGTATTCCCTAATATATAGAAATCATATATTTTTATTTTGAGTGAACGTGAGGTGTATATACAGTCCTTGAGTTTGACCAAAAATTAAAAACTAACAATATCAAAGAGTTAGTCTCAAACGATCTTCCTAGTTTAGGTTTGATAATCACGAACAAATGAAGTTTTTATTTTTCAGAAAATTTTGACATCGTCGAGTCTATCTTTGGTTTTTTTTACCTTTTTACAATATTAAATGAGAAGAGTTTTTTTTAAAAGGAAAAAATAATATATGTTTTTGATTTTTTTAGATTTAAAAATATCTTTTTTTTCTTACAGAAATTTTCCTAGTTTGATGTTTTTTTTTTTTTTTTGTCAAAAAGTTTGATGTTTATTTCCATATAATCTAAGTAAGGATATAATTGAGCATTTTCTTATTTTAAAACCTAATATACCAAACTTAAAAAAAGAAGGCATAGATGGACAAATTTTTTAAAAAACATCCTTTAAAATCAATTTTCCCAATAATTTAAAAGTTTTTGAAAAACTTGTTGTAACGTAAGTTGTTTTCGTTGCATCGTTATTATAAATATATTATTATTACATCAACTTTTATGTAACTACGATTTTGTCAATCCTTACTAATATATTAATAATAAGGATGCAGCAAAAAAAACTTAAGTTACAACAATTTTTTTTCTTTAAATTTTAATAGCTTACACCAATTTTAACAATCCTTAATTACTAGTATATATAGTATACATGTTTCTCACCTTAGCATGCAGAAACATTTTTTTTTTTTTTTGGTAAAGGAATTTTACATTTTAACAATGCTTCATTATCTAATCATCAACTTAAGAGTTTTGTTTTTTTTTAAAATAAAATAATAAAATCTTAAGAGCTAGAGACTATTATAGACTTTGTCATCTGAAAATATAAAATTCAATTTTCAAGAAAGAAACTGTAAAAATACAAATGGAATAAGCCACATGATAAAGTTATAAGAAGAAAATTATGATCTATATATATATACGATATTCGGTTACTAATACTAAAAGTGTTATCTGTGCTAAAATAAGGTTGCATTCCATTAATTTAAATTTTTTTTAAAAAAAATTACCTTATAAATGCAAAAAGTATTTGTATGTTGCTCTCTCCGGATTCCCTCCCTTGAAACGGCAGTTAATGACTTAATCTTTTTTACCTTATAAATGCAAAATATTCAAAAGTACTTAGCAAATTTTTAATGTAAGCTGACGAATATTTTTATAGTAACTGATAAACATGTGAATATTTTACATTTTATAAGGTAATGTTTAAATCACTATCCGACATATTAAGGGCAGAAATCCGGAGAGAGCAACATACATACTAATACATTTGCAGATTACAGTAATTGTATAAACTATATTGACCAAAACAGTGTGTGTCAGTAAACGTTACAAATCAGAAATATTAAATTATATATTAACCAATCAGAAATGATTATATATAAACAAACTGTTTGGTCAATATGTTACTAATATTTTAATTTGTAATGTTTACTGAAATATATACATAAATAAGCATTTCACAGAAGTTGATACTGGAGCACGACGGTTACGAAGGAAGACTGTTACTGTAATTAAGACCTATATAAAATGTACACTTATTTAACTATGTTATGTTAAAGCGTTACATGAGAACTTTTAATGCAAAATTTCTGATTTCACAAAACAATTTAGATTATTATATGTAAAAGAAACTGACCAAGACATATATACTAGATGCCAGATTCTGTTGCATGCATACAATTAAATTTGTTTTATAGTAGTAAGGGATTATGTACGAACATCAAATAGAGATTTTTAGTGTTCATTTTTCATACTAAATTTCACTGTTTTATTTTTAGCGTTCATACGTTTACTATAAAACGTTGGATGCATGAGTTATAATATATTTGATATCTAGTATTATTTGGCATATATTGGGAAATGATTTAACACTATTATTTATTTTTAACAATCCTAAGAGAATTTTACATGTGGTGTTCTAAACCATACAAGATATTTATGAAAGTTAAACTAAAAGTGGCTAGATCTATGTATATAATAATCTCTTAATCATAAGAAAGTTGTACCTATTTAAATACTAATGTTGTCAAAGATCTAACTTTGTATTTTTCCCTTTTGTTTAAGATGTTTAAAGATATCATAAATTTTTTATTTGAAATTTTATATGCTTACATCTTTTTGAAAATATATGGAATTGAAAAATATAAAACATTGAAAAAATGAACTTTTAAGATCTTTGAAAATTGTTGAGCTTTAAGAACTTTATAAGATGTTAACAAAAATTCTCAAGTTAAATTGTTATGAAGAGAAACTAAAAAGTAAAACATGCAAGTAGAATCAATTGTTGAAAATGTAGATAATTTTTGAAATCATGAAAAATAATAAATCTGTGAAGTTTAATGAATTCTCATTGACAACATCACATGAAAATATCTCCACACAATATTTTTGACGAGGTCATCTTTAACAAATAAGTTATTCTTATAGCTCAACAATATTTGAAATTCTTAACAATTTGCAAATTACCTGCAGTGATCGTATCCTTTGTGGATCTTTGAACTTGGACGACTATCAAGCAAGCTTAGCTCCTGGATTTCTTGTTATAGCCAGTAACACACTTTTTTGGTTTCTTTACTTTTTTTTTTTCTTTTTTCTCTCTTTTTTTTCTTCTTCTTTTTCTTCATTTCTAGTATTTTTATTTCGATTTTTCTTTCAAAATTTTAGAAGAATACCTATGACACTTTTGTTAAGAAGTTGTATGATAAATTTACGTTTTTATAGAAGATAGAAAGTAGATTCGTCGCTAGACGTTAAACGTTAGAGTCGATGTTTATTGCATTGCAAACACGTGTTATGATGTTATAATGTTATTACAGTTTTACTTTCCTTTCCCATTTGTGAATTTATACAACAATGTTTCACTAGTTTAAATTTTCTGATAAACTTACGTTTCTATAAAAGATTAATCGCTAGACGTTAGACGTTAAGGTCGATGTTTCTTGCATTGCAAACACGTGTTATGGTGTTATTATAGTTTTACTTTCCGGTCTGTGAATTTACATGGCAATCAGTGCCACTAATTTAAATTTTATGATAAACTTACGTTTCTATAAAAGATTAATCGCTAGACGGTAGACGTTAAGGTCGATGTTTCTTGCATTGCAAACACGTGTTATGGTGTTATTATAGTTTTACTTTCCGGTCTGTGAATTTACATGGCAATCGGTGCCACTAATTTAAATTTTATGATAAACTTACGTTTCTATAAAAAATTTGTCGCTAGACGTTTAACGTTAGAGTCGATGTTTATTGCATTGCGAACACGTGTTGTTATGATATTATAAGAATCTAATTTTCAGATTTGTGAATTTATACAACAATTAGTTTCACTAGTTTAAGTTGGGACTCTAAACTAACTCTTTTAAATTCCATATACCACTTGCATCCAAGAAGCTTTCATGCCAGTCCATGTTAAGTAGGCCTTTGACATTAAACCGAACCGAGATATTTGGGTTTCGGTTCGGATCCGGTTAAGAGAGCCAATGTGAATATTATATGAGCCTCACTCTCGTTATCGACAAGTTGAGTTTCACGAACGTTTATTATTGGGTAGCATTACGCGCGTACCGTAACACTAGTGTTCCGCGTCACAGAGTATTATTTGCACTCTCTTCTTCGTCTTCCTTTTTCCTCAATCGACGATCAAATCAAATCGGCAACCTCCGTATTGATTCCTCTGCTTCCGATTCAATGTCGCTGCTTAACCAACTCTTCAACCGTGGCATCTTTGGCGCCAAATGGTTTCTTCTTCCTCTTATATGTTTATCTCGTTTAGGATCTGGGTTTTGATTTGAAGCTATAGTTCTTCTTCAAAAAGTTGTTAACTTTATCCCATCGTTTTCTTCAATTTGAAGTTAGAGTTTATGGTTTTGATTGATTTTGTCCACAAATTTGAGAAATTGAAGTAAAATTTGGCAGCAAGACAAGCTTGAATTTTGCAATTGCTCGGATGAAGTTGCTGCAAAACAAGAGAGATATGCAGCTTAAGCATATGAAGAAGGAGATAGCTCAGTTCTTGCAAGCTGGACAAGAACCCATTGCTCGAATCAGGGTCCTTTCCCTTTTATACCATTTTTATGATCCCATTTTGATTCTGTGTATGTTAGTTCTTACAAATGAACTTAACACCATGTTCTTATGTTCTTTTCTGAGGGTAGGTGGAGCATGTGATCAGAGAAATGAATTTATGGGCAGCTTATGAGATATTGGAGCTGTTCTGCGAGTTTGTACTTGCTCGTGTTCCAATTCTTGAAAGTGAAAAGTGAGTCTTTGGTTTCATCTGTGATGGGTTTACAATACGGATTAGTTGAGGCAATCCTTATTTTTTAATATATATGTGTGTGTTTCTTTGGATAGGGAATGCCCGAGAGAGTTGAGAGAGGCTATTTCTAGTATCATCTTTGCTGCTCCAAGGTGCTCTGATGTGTCTGATCTTCTTCAAATTAAGAATCTGTTTGGTACAAAGTATGGAAAAGAATTTATCATGGCAGCTTCTGAGCTTCGTCCAGATTCTGGTGTCAATCGTACTGTTAGTATACTTGGGGGGATAGTTTCTTTCTTATTCATGTTTTATGTACATATCTAGAGAATTGCACTCTTGAATGAAGTGCTTTACTAGTTGGATTGTGTTTACTTTTTTGGTCAGATCATTGAAAAGCTTTCTCCCACCAGTCCATCTGGAGAGGCAAGGCTCAAGATGTTGAAGGAAATCGCGCAGGAATACAGTTTGAATTGGGATTCTTCTGCCACGGAAGCAGAATTCATGAAGAGCCATGAAGATCTCCTGGTACCATTTCTCTGAACCCTTATTTAAAAATTTAAGGGAAAGCTAGTCAGTAACATTCACATACACCATTCTCCTAAATCAGATGTGAACTTTGAATCTTTGATACAACTCAGCTGTGTCACTGAGGAAAGAAAGTGGGCCTATATATCTGCATAGGGCGAACAAAACGATACTGATACATATATATCTGCATAGCAATGAGTTGATAATCTTCTAGTGGGCCTAGCTGTTAACGTACACAAATGCTGAGTTTGCTTCCATTCAGCAAATGATATGGGAAACGTTGTATACAATGAAGTCGGTTTACAAAGTTGATGGTTTTGTTCTAACATCATTTGTAGGGTGGAGCGAAGCAGATACATCGCCAGGATAGTATCTCTGAATCTCGGCCATCCCAGCAAGGCTACACTCAGTCTTCAGTTTCTAGGGAGGCTGACAGTCTACCTGCAGATGCCACACAGAGACTCCAAAAGCTTCAAGCTCAGAACCAAGTTAGCAAAAACATTTCTTCAGCTAAATTGACGTCAGCTTCTCAACCACCTCCTGATACTAGAAGGGATCAGACTGATGTAATGGAGAGAGCTCGGGCTGCTCTAGCTAGCGCTGAGAGAGCAACAGCAGCTGCTCGTGCTGCAGCGCAACTAGTCAATGTCACTTATGGGGTTTCTGGGCCCAGAGTAACAGCAACAGAAGGGAAATCCTTGACCTGAATGTAGTTGCCACGTCATATATGTGAATAAAGCAATTGTATTTGCTTCACAGTTCATACAGTGAGAGAAAGATAACGATGTTTTCTTGGGTGAATAGGCATGGGAATGAGTATGCTAAAGAGTTATTGGTAGGTTATGCTCGAGTGTTGTGACTTGTGAATTATTGTAACTTTGCTTTTTTATGTAGAGTTTGGTCGAGTTAATGAAAACTTCAGATAAGCCATCAACTACACGAAATGGATTCAATAGTTAATGTAACTTTTAAATTTGCCATTTACAAAAAAAGGATCCATGCAGAAAAAAAGCCAACATTGTGGCACATCCTCTGTTTTGGACTTTGAACGGTGTATTCAAACATTGTGTTACGATCTCTGTTATTTTTTCAAATCCTCTGATTCTTGTCTCGAAGTAGAGAGAGTAAAGCAAGGATTTGACTATAAAGTCTCAGCTTCAAACACAGTGAAGGGTCTGAAAGATCGTCCTTAAGGTTTCATATCTTCAGCAAGAACGAGAGGAAGTAAGTACTTCATCATTCAAAGGACGAGATTCTTATTAAAAAAATTTGATATATTAACAAGAAAAATGCGAACATGCATAATGACAAGAATTGGCACTCTTCTTTTTTCCTTTCTCAAGTTCTCTCTGTCATTCTAGAATAATTTGGGGAAAACGAAACCGAGTTATTCGTTACCATATTGACTATGCGTACGGTTTTGTCTTTTCAAGCGTAATTGGTTTTTTTTCTTAAATATTGAAATTGCATACACACATATAGACCAACAAAAAAAATGTGGGTGCAAAGAAAAAAGACCAAAACAAATTATTCTTGATTAGATGCTTTTGATTTTGTAATAACCAAATTATTCTTGACCGCTGGGGCTCCGCGGCGTCGCCATCCCGCTGGAGACACATATACTTTTGGCTCCAATTTTCTTCAAACTCCTCTTCTTGATCTCACATTCTAACCTTCATTCTCTTGCCTCCTTTTAACTCCCATTAGGACCAAATAGCTTCATAGATCCTCCAATGTCCAACCTCTACTCCGAAACCAAATAAAGAAGTAATGCAAGCAAGACTAAATGCAAGTGCATATACTCCTCCTACTTGTGTTGTGTCTTAAGATGAATGCAAATTAATGAACCATTATACCGCATTGGAGGGTAAATGAAAGGATATTCATAGAATTATAAAAACCATTTATTTTATGCTAACGTCTTGAACTTTATATTATTGCCAAAAAATAAAATAAAAACATTTAATTGTACTATCAATAAATAACGCATTTAATATAATCTAATACTAGTAAAATATTGGGAATAAGAAGATCGTTTGAGCTATTTTAACTATATTTGAGTTTCATAGCCATTTTTCAAATATTTTATGCATGCGTTTTGAATTATTGGCTCGATTCAAACTTGGTGCATTACGAAAGCCCTGTCACCGGCCATGGGAGATATAAAACGTACGATACTTAAATTGGAAACATTTTATGTATTCCAAAAACAAAGTACGAAGAAGGCAAATAAGAATATAGACATCACATAGTGATGATATCCATCCACATCGTCATGGCCCGTGTGCGTGTGACTGTGTGTGAGAGAGAAAGGTCCACTTTACGACTTGCCCCTTCGTAGACACACAAACTCAACTCGTCCTTTCCATATTTTACAAAAATTTTATTTTATTTTTTTGCCAAAAACCAAATTTTTACAGTTTTTGTCTCTTTCCCATGTACGTTAGGTCTACTTCTTTGTCCAGGTGGGGCGTCCACTATTTTTTCAAATATCATTTCCCACTTTCTAACGAATTCTCTTTCTTTTCTATTTTCTTTCTTCTTTTACATCATCATAAGAATTAAGAAGCAACAGAAGAAGAGATAAAAGAAAATGTATAAAGAAAAAACAATTTATAGTACGTGCGGATGTTTCAATTTCTGCTGGGCGGCATATTTTGACACACATTAAAAAGAAAAAACTCATGAGTTTATATCATATTTATTCTGGTGAACCACTCACTCGCTCTCATCTGAAAGATATTTGTAGCAACAAAATAAAAACAAGTAATGGAGGACACGTAGGGCCGAATGAACAGACAGATGGTGTTTGATTAAGCAACTGTGTATTCTCTTTCTCTCTCTCTCTTCCATGTCCTAAACCTATGTCTCCATACACATTCTCTTCTTAACTCATTTCCTAGCTCTTTCGGTCTCTTCTCCTTTAAATAGCGTCTCTCGGCCTTCACTCATACATACATTATAATTAAACCATACCATATATATATATGAAGAGGGAGAGGAAGAGACAAGGTTCGGAGGAGGAGGAGGAGAAGAAGAAAGAGAGGAAGACGATGGAGGTTGTGGTGGTGGATGCATTGGCTGCAGCAGCAACGGTGGCTGCGGCTGCGGCCGTGAAGGAGGAGGAGGATTTGTGGGGGATGAGGCTTAAGGCCGGAGATGATGTAGTGGTCGATGAGCTAATGACGTGGAGTACCGTTTGGTTGCCTTCATGCTGGGACGTGGAGTTCGTTGAGAAAAACTATGAAGCTTTGTATAATGATGTTGTTTGGGACGATGATCTTTGGAATTTGGACATTTCTTCCACTCATGATCAGCTTCCTCCTTTAGATAATAACATAAGTCAAGACTGAACGTTTTTTTCTCCAATCGGTACGGTTATGGAGTTTTTTTCTTTTTTTTTTTTTGTTTTGGTATGAACCATATTGTAATCAAAATTACTTGTTTTGATTTGATATGGTTTCATTCTAAGTTATCAGTCTTTCTTAATTTAGATCATATATTTTTTTTTTGGCAAAAGGAAAGTATCCCTTGTTTGAGGGGTTTTTTTTTTCTTCTTCTAAAAGAGTCAATTTGATTTTGGCTTTTTCTTGGTTTATAGTATAAGTTTTGGCTTTCTCTGGTTCAGAGATAAAACTCAATAAACCGAACTAAGTTTTTTTAATGTTTTTTCCTATTTTATCCCGACGTGTTCTGGTTAGGTCGATTATTAGAAGCCGATCGAAATTGTAAATTCAACTCCATCTTTGTTGGGATGATTGAAGTTGGAAACGAATTAGGGATTTGGATTTACGGTTCATAATTTCCATTTGCCTACCACTTTAGGGTACATAGACAATAATTAACAAAAAACAAAAAAAAACCAATAAACAGGTTTTTAAATTTTCCATAAAACCTAATTATCTAAAATATATACATTTAGCCATTTAGGGAACAAGTCACACGGAGGAGAAGAAATCTATAAGTTGGGTGGCTTGTAGGCATTGAAATTGATATAACGACTTGATGGAACGTTGTCCAATCAATGCAACACCTTTGGGTAACATACATCGTAGTATTACAGGTGACCCATTCCCTATTTTTGTATACTTTTTTTTTTTTATTGTACTCAAACATTCTCTTGTTACATTTTTACTTAGCCCTAATATTACTCTCGTCTGTTGAATTTTCCACAGGCGTAGTCTTCATGTAATTCCAAACCTTTGATCTTAGCATATTGATGTAACACTTCTTGGAAAAATAACTTTTAAAAGGATTAATTAAGGTGAAGAAAGTAAAGATTGTTTGATATTTTACGAAATCGTTTTTCCATTGAAAATTTTAACATTTTTGGAACTGTCGCATGTCAGGATCTGTTAATTGCCCTTAGAAGCCCATGAGGTTGAGGAGAAATATGGTGCAATATTTGACATTGTTGTGCTGTCATTAGAATCCAATTCCAAAGTATGACTATGTATGCTTCAATCTTGTTATTGTTTCTTTTTCTTTTTTCCTTTACTACATCTATCTTCTGACTTATGCATTTATATATTTTGACATAATATTTTCACTTACGTAATATTGAAAGTTTCAAACTTAAGATTTAAAATAAACTAACAATAAATATATATTTACCACTTTTTGTCGGCTCAAAATGATGACAATATAAAATCTTACAAGGATTTGATAGTTCTTACCACTGAAAGTATGAGAAAAAGGTAAGTTCTTTAATAAAGTGTGGTTTTTTAAGATAAACAGAGAGGGAAAACAAAACATAAAAAGCTGTAGGACAAAACAAACTGAGACAACGACAAGAAGAAAATGGCGAAAGAAGTTGAAAAGAAGACAACAATTTTGGTTTCTGTTTCTTTTTACTGCATTCTCGATTATCAATCAGACTCAAAATGAATGGTCTATATATATAACAGTGATAGAAAAATATAAACTATTTCAACCACCATACTCTTATTTAAATCTCTGAATAACACCACCTTTTTATTAATTTTGTGTTAAGTATATAGTTTTTGACTGATTTATAGTATGTTGTATGTTGTTACTATGATCAACTGCGATTTTTTAAAAAGGCCACTCATTATATTGAAAGAAAGAGAGAGATATTAATATTAGTTGTGGTGGGAGCTCTCATGGACCTGCGAAGACGAGACTGATTACTAAATCAAATTATTGATATCAGCCCAAATAGTTATAGACAATCTGAATTTGATATTGGATCTCTTCAAATCAGTTTGTTACATATAATTATTCTTATATCAGACATACCCATGTGACCAATTGACTCCTTACCCGAAACATCAATATCCTGTTACTACACTTTTACGAAGTTAACACAACCGCAGTATTGTTTTATGTAAATTCTTCCCAACACTATGATAACATTATTCTGTATATAATCATTTTACACTATAGAATATATATTTTCTTTGTTTTCTGGTAACTACATTATAGAATATGTTTTGCGTGATTATATATAATCAACATTGCTATGCTACTCCGCGTCCATGTATCGTTTTATGTCTTCTTCAAATTTGACCACCGACACACTTAAAACATAGGTTTAGCTTTTTTTTTGCTTTATAAGTTTTTCCTCTTTTGTTGTATACATTTTTCTTCTTTTGCATCACCGTCGTCGGGTAGCTAGAAATATCAATAGTCGATCAGCTGCCTAATAAATTGCATCCATTCAATTCCCAACGCTGCGAAAAATGGCACCTATCTTGGGAATGCAACTCATGATTATCATCTTTTTTATTATCTGCATACATTTCTTGTTGGACCACTTTCATTGTTTTTATAACAAAATGAATCATAAAATTTTCAAAATTTGGACCATCTAACCGAGGAATAAACAGAGAATATATATCTTAAGGAACATGCATGTGACAAGAAACCCAAAATCAGTAAATCTCAAACATAATTGAGCAAATGTTATATTACGTACGTACTGCCAAAATATTAAAAATATTATTCATTTATAGCGTTGTATATTTATACATAACAGCTATATATTTCAATTATAGATTGAGATATTGTGAAGAAAAAGAAAATAAGAACAAAGCAGAGACATAGAAAACGACATATACAGAGACTCACGCAAATAACAAATGAGCCAATGACACAGCACGCCCGTCATCTTCCCCTCCCCTCAGGCTGCGCCTGCTCCACCTCATTAAACACATAGAGAGGGACTACATAGATAGAAAGAGAGAAAGATATGGAGTTGTCTCATGTCTGAATATAACAATCTCTGACCGTTCTTGTCATATCAAGAAAACAAAACTAATCTCTCACACTCTCTCTTTCTTTCTTATTTCTTGATCATCTCCGTTTCTGTATGGGTTGTCGAGATATTCTGTTGACTTTCTCCGTCGCTCTCTTACTCATATCTCTCTTCCAGATCTGGCTTTTCCGGGAAGGACGAACAGTTCCAGAACTATCGGAAGACCAACTCGGGTCGACCAAGAACAAGAAGGACGACGAAGATGTTCATCAACGACTCTACCAAAAGTACTTCAAGGGAAGATCGTTTAGTGTGAAGAGCAACAACAATCACTTTCGCTTTGAAGATTCCAATAGAAGGATCCCTAGTTCCCCAGATCGCCTTCACAACTAGTTAGTTCGTGTCTTCTTTAGCTTTCTATATATATATTCTTTTATTGTCTTCCTTCTTCTTTTGGACTCTTACCTCATTTTGTTAGTATGTATTATTCGTAAAATTGTTATCTAGATATTCTACTAAGAAACGAGAGCATTTTGTTTAGTTAGTTTTCAGATCAAAGGATACGGTAAATTAAACTCCGTAACTATGTAAACACTTGATGAGAAAAAAATATTGATTCACTTTTGTCTCATGTTTATAGTTTTTGTCTTGTCATCAGGGGTCTTCTCTAGCGTTGTAAAGGTCCGAATTGAAAAGTAAAATCGCCATTTCGTACGGAAATCATATATTTTGGGAATTATTACGGTATTATGATCAGTTAGTTATGTTTTTCCCCTTACACCTCCTTCACACACTTTGATTATCTGGTTCATGCATATTTGTGTCTTATATTTGCTAGTGTCTGTTACTAGTAGAGAAACATTAAAGTCATCATTAATTCCCACTTCACAATCAAAATCTTTGTAGTTCTTTAACAATCATACATGTTAGATGAGCATAACATGTTTTATAGTATATATTTTGTTGGCAGTTTTCTAAACAAAGTAGATGATTTTTGCCTCTTTGGTATCTACTCCAACTAATTAAGTGACACTTTCTTTTCACGTATGACGAGTATGTGCATCTGCTATATATATCATCTATCAGATTTGGGTAAATTCTTTGGGACTCTTTTTCTCGTAGTGGTTCCATGAAGCGGAAAAAAAATACAATTCAAGAAAGTAAGCATAAGTAGTCCACGAAACAGTATCCGTTCTTATGCGAAACATTAGTATATACTATATCAGGAATAAGTTATCCATTGTGTTTACCACGAAATAGTAGCTAATACGTTGAAGGCTAAAAGATCTTTCTATCGCAAAATTTCAAAATAGAGAATAGGAGAATGAATAATTGAATGACCAAAACCTCTACAGAAGAATGAAAGACAAGACGAAGCATTTATTTAAAAAAAATAAAGAGGGTTGGTAAGCTAATAATATTAAAGGTTGTCGTGACAAAGGACCTACTTTAAATTGACGTTATCACGCGAAAAGCTTTTTGTAATCTCTCAACGTTAAAAATTAGCCGGAAAAAGGAAAGTCTTCGATGAGAGTCTGTAACAAAAAAAAGAGAAGGTCAACAAGTGTTGAACATCGCATCAGTAATAGTAATTAGTACGAGCAGTAATAAAAGTATAAAACACATATATACAACATGATAAGCCTTAAACCATGGAACACGTGTGGTTCTTGTCGCAATATTTTAGGTCAAGGATTGTGCGCGGTGGATCGTGAATCCTGTGAGTGGATCGTTACGTTAGATGGGATCGACCAAATGAGTAAACATAAACATATTGAAGTGTGAAGAATTAGAATATAACGCGTTACGCTATTCAAACTACTCAAACTATTTTTTGATAGATCAGAGCCTCAGAGGTTAGTATTTATTTGGAATCAATGTGAGTATACTACTTTAATTTAGTTTTGGGATCAAATGTGAGTATACTATTTTAACAGTCTAATTTTTGAATATTATATTGAATTTTCTAAGTCTGTTTATGTAGAAAATGTGTTTATTTGTGATATATATATATATTTATATATATACATAAATTTGGTTAAATATGTGAAGAATATGTCTTTTTAGGATGTAGAGTTGAAAACAAAACAACAAAACAGTCAGCTTAAAGTATAAAATACAAAAAGTTCAATTATTAAAGCTGGAAACCTGAAAGAAAACTCGTTGTTACATATCTGAAAACAAATATAAAGTTTTTATTTTTGTCGAAAAAAAAAACTGTTTTTCCTTTTTTTTTTTTTTTTTTTGGTAAAAGGTTAAATTTACTGTTTTTTCTTTACAGTCGGTTTTCAAAGTTAAAACATTCTCTTCTTAAGAAAAAGATTCTAGGTTGACTAACTAAACTATCAACTTATATGCATCTTCTTTTATTTTAACCTTACGACAGCATCATTTGGATTTTGGAGGATACATTATGATCAGATCAAGAGACGATAATTTGAAAGTTAAAAAGATAATAGAAAATTACCAATACTTAATCAAAGCTGGTCTATAAAATCCCCAAGCAATTAAGTTTGATATTTAAAAAAAAAATAAAAAAAAATAAAAAAATCCCACGCATGCAAGAGGGCCGAAATGAGTCAGTAGAGTAGCTAGTTGGGCTTTAGTTTATTTATGAGTCGAACAACGTAAACTCAAATTTGCTTCAATACCTCGTTTTCAAACTACACTATTTTTACTGGTCCAAGAAGTGTTGTGTTAACTTTTGTATTTTTGTTTAGGGCCTCGTAAGATACCAAAACGGTACATAAGTAGAAATTAGAATGCCCCAAGCTTGGTGGACTAAATCACATAATCCAGCTACGGATCCATACATATATATATATTGTGGATGGATAAGTGGGTTAACATTTGAAATTCTTGTAAAATATTTCAACCCGATTTCAATTTGCATATGTAAAAATATTTATGTTTGGAATAGTGATCGTTCGCATGACAGATATATTCCAATAAGAACAAAAACATATACACGATTCTGTTATTATTCGAACCTCACTCACTACCACTTTGTCCTAGAGTTGTCCTGCACTTCACTTGCAAATGCATATGTAATGTTTTGACAGACAATTACAACTAGTAAAAAGAAGTAAAAGATATTTTGAAAAGAGTTGTAAAAAAGAAAGAAAGATATTTTGGAAAGGTTTCCAACAAAAAAAAAAAAAATCATAGGAAAACGGAGGAGATGCCAAACGGGGTTTATTCGAAATGAAGGTCCATCACGTTTTGGGATTTACTCAATTTTTATATTTTATTTTTAAATTGAAAAGACTTTTTTTTAAAGTAGAGAGAGGAGAGAGGACCACAAAACATGTCATGTCATTTCATTGTTTCAGCCCAAAAGGCCAGCCACGAGCCATACTTCTCTTCATATGTATTTTAAAATTATTGCAAAATTCCAAAACTTCATTTTAATTTGGTGGGTCCAATTGCCCTTTCAATCTTTTTTAATAAATCTGTCTTTTAAGATTTGGTCCTAGTCCAAATAAGACATATATAGTTCAATTATTATTACACGAATTCTCAATTTTGGCCTAAATTATTTGGCAATCTTAATTCTCACACAGTTGATTTACCTTCAGTTTCATAAGTTTTGATTCTTTTGAATCTCTCTTTTTCTTTGTACGACCTTTCATAATATAAAACCATCAAATTGAACGTTACGGTTTATAACCAGCATAAAATATGGGGACCGAAGAAGTGTCATAGCAAAATAAACATAGCATTAAAAAAACTCTATAGCATAACGAGTAACGAGTAATTCTAATTTTTAATATACTCTCTTCCAATATGACGCCAAAAGAAATTATCTCTTCTTTCATTTTTCCCAAGTGGGAAGTGGAGTCAACGAACATCTTCTGTTTGAGAAGTCTTTCCAAATTTTGACAAAGGTGTCTTTTTAAACGCAATGTAATAATATTTCTAAAGAAAAAGAAAAAGACGTACATTTTATCTACTAATATATCCGGTAACTGTAATAGAAGAAGCGGCAAATCGAAGGTTGAATGTGATATAAACTTACAAGGCCAATTCCAACAAGGCTCCTTCGTGCGGACCCAACTCTCATGCATGCTACACAACAACATCCTACGATGTGACTTTAGTTTGTGTCCTCTTGCCTTTGTATGAATTGGACCTTTTTATCACTTATTATAACACACAAAGACAAATCCATTTCTCTCAACTTTATTTTTAGTGTATTACCTCCATACTTTAATAACATGTTCCACGTAGTAGCTTTAGATAATCATACTATGGCACTTCCAAACAAAAACTTAGTTTGAAATTATCCATCTTACCAAAATTTTAAGCACCACCAAAGTTAACATATCTTATGTACCACAGATTCAAATTATTAACGGGTCGCATGATAATGATAGGATGATACTAACCCTTATAGATATTTGGTTCAATCTACGCTTGTGTGGTAGTTAGTGGCCATTTTCATCTTAGCTAGAAATTAAAAAAATGGATTTGGACTATACAGAAAAAAAATTGATTCATCAACTGGCAAAGAGGACAATGACGATTCACGGTTAACTTGTTCATTGTGTTTATTATAATTGGCTGTCAAGCCACTTTTTATTTTGAAATGCCAATTCTGATTAATTCTTCTAAGATATTAGTGGTTCCAAAAAGTTTTAAAAACTATTTTTATTTTAAAGTTCTTAAGGACAATCATTTGGTTTTTTGCTTTTAGATGGTTCCATAGTGTTTGTTAGTTTTTTCCAGTTTGGAAAATAATTTACAAATTATACTCAAATGTTTCGGATCGGTCCACAAACTTTTTTTTAGCTTCAGCCTAATATTGGATCACAAAAAGATAAACAAATATTTTAGTATTAAATTGTGAATATATTTTCACTACACATATGAGTCTTCATGAACTTTAGTTTGTTTGGTATACTTGGGTACCGGCTTAGTTTTTCATTTGCTTTGTTCTCAAGAGTAAGGGTGCTGATAATAATGTTAGTTTTGGTTTGGGAAGTTATGTTCGTTCAATTTCGATTTGAGAGGTCATAAACATGTTTAACCTATAGTATTTTTAGAAATCAAAATGCCACTTTGCACATTCTTATTACCAAATATATACATCAGTGCTATACATATAATACAAGAAAAGTCACATTATTGGTTACTTCTATGTACATATACCAAGTCCGTAAAGCACAATTAAGTGCTAAATTAACAACTTCTGTCGTTGCAGAAGAAAAAAAAGCTCACCAAAATTTGTAAAGTGAGATATAACATGAACATTCATTCATTCATACTATTCAGTAATTAACACCTAATGGTGAATTTGCAGCAGCGGAAACAGCAAGCGCGGCTCTCTTAACAAATCGTCCTTTCATGCGTGGTCTTTTCTCCGCATTCAGTTTACGTACCTCGTACCTTATCTTCTTAGAAAACAACCTCGTCCTCCTCTTCTCTCTGTACCTCGACACCCTAGCTTCTCTACCTCCATCTCCAAACCCACTTGATGGTAAACACACACTAACGTACTGCTTCTGATGACTTAGATCTCCTTTAGTTTCTCCCTAAAACACACAATTTCAATTAGATAAAACTCGATGAAAAAAAGTCTTATATCCTAAAAGAATGATGAATATATGTATAACATACCATGGAAACAGGTGGCCAACTGCTAATGTCAATGTCTAGTTCCGGTGGCTCTCCCGAAGTCCAGGGTTGACCTTGGCCTCCCCAAGTAGATATAACCGAGTCGTAGTTTAATCTCAGCATCAGAACATTCTTCCCTTCTTCCTCTTTCACCTTAACAACACATTCACCACTACTTTCAACATTCTTTATTTCCTCTTCTTCGGCTGTCTTGTGTGACGACTCGTAATCAAAGGTTAGCTCAAACGGTACCGTTCCATCCACGTCTTTTCGATCATCATCGAATATTTCCATGTTGATGGCTTTTATGTCTTCTACTTCTTCTTCTTCAATCTCGTCTTTTTCGACTTTGAACATCTCTGTATTAGAAAACCCTAGATCCTCCATGGCGTAAGACTCGGTCTCTAACCCGCGACCGAGCAGAGTCTCCACGTCAGCAGCGAACTCCTCAAGCTCCATGTCGGTCGGAAAAAAACCATTCAGACAACTCTCGGCGTTGTCCTCCTCCTCATCGATCAGCACACCACTTCTGATCATAGGAAACTCGATCTTCGGCTCAACGACATCGTTCAAGAATTGCTCAGCTACCAACGGATCTAGAACCGGCACTTGACAGATCAGCTGTTCTTCAAGCTCAAGCTCATAGCTGTCGGTCTGATCCTCAACACTAATTTCCGGTACCAAGTCATGAAAAGTCGACAAATTATTCTTCTTACCTGCAGAGCCACGTGGCGTCCGAGCTTTACGAGTGAACCCGTGATGCCAAGTCGCGGCTCCGTGAGGAGGAGAAGCTGATGGTGAGTGGTTGCTATGCTTCGCGGCCGCTGGACTGGCCGTCTTCAAACGGACTCTCTCGTGCCGGCGAGCGAGAGGGTTGGCTGAGTGGACCAAACTGTCGCAAGATTGGCAAAGAAAAGCATCGTCGGCGGCGCAGTACCACCGAGCCCGTCTCTTCACGCAGCTGTCACATGCCCTCGCCGTCTTGGCTCCAACAGCATTCGCCAAGCTTTTCATCTTCTTACAAAGAGTAAAACCAACATCAACGACAAGAGCACGAGAGCTTTGGTTTTCAGATCAGTAACCTTTTTCTTCAAAATGATTGCTCTGTGTCGTCCTAGAGAATTTTGGGCAGTGTGAGTGTTTTGAGATTTAGAGGATGTCCCGCAAGAAGTGCGTACCCTTTTGTGTCAGTGGGTTTTCCAAGTTATAAGAAAAATAAAATATGAATGCACTTTTTGGGTGTTTATGTCTTGAGTTTAGGACCCATGTCGAGGCCTTATCTCAATTGTGATTGGTTGAGTTCAGAAGATGATCCTCGTAATAGTGTTTCAATTGGTCAGATTCTTTATCCAATGGATTTCTTGTATGGTCCATCTTGTCGCTTTCCTTGCCCAATCACTCATTATTTTCTTTTATTTTTTCCTCTATTCGACTTTTTGTGGTTTTTGTTATTTTTTTCTTTTTTAGGTAGCAAAGGTTTCAGTTTTCTTCTTCTTATCTTTTTTTTTTTTGCTCTACCGTTTTTTTTTTAATTAGAGACTAATGTATATAGTAACTTTGACTATGGATAAAATATTGTTTAGGTAAATACTAAATACCTTTTTTGCATTTTTTTTTCTTTTGTATAGTGACAAACATTTTTTTTCATTCAATCATATTATAAGTGGCCTCCATATTATTCATTCATTGTTTCTTTTTTGGTGCTAAACTGTAAATATCCATATTGTATATAACATAAGATATTTTGGATCGTTTTTTTCTGTTAAAGAAGATAGATATTTTGGATTCTTAGCAAAAAAAGATAAAAACAAGGATGGAAAAAAATCATGAGAGAGAGCTATGAAGGTTTCATGGCAGCCACACAAGCCATTAGATTGAACGAAAGCTATTATTATTCATTCATCATGTTTGCGAGTTCCCTAAAAAGGAGAGAAGAACAAACAGGTTATAGATGTCTACAGTAAGAAATCATTTAAACTGTCCACGTTAAAACAAGAGAAGAACCAAAAAACATACGTTATTGACTTATTGTTACAGTTTCACTTTAACAGAAAAATAAAATCGTTAAGGTTTTCATAAAAATGAGGCATCTATCGCCGGGCAAGAAAGACTAGACGACAATGAGTAGGCTCAAAACTCAAATATATGTGGGCCGATATAAGTACAAAGAACTCTGGAAGCCCCATAGTGTAAAAACAATAAAATAGTAGCCCCATAATTCAAGCCCATGAGAGTTGTACGTTGTAGCATTTCTTATGAAAACTGTAGACGTCACTTTTGGTTGGGTTGTTCAGTAATCTATGTTACAAGAAGTCAAGAAGACGATCATTTAGTAATCTAGTTGTCCATGTTAGAAGAGTCAGTTGCGTTTTATGTATGTTTCTGTCCACAAATCTGAATTTCTTTGGTAAAAACTTAAAACCATGTGTAGGTAGATAAGTAGATTAAATCCATATTGACGATTATTCAAGATATAAATATATTTTTAAAAAATAAAAAAATAGTTGTACGTCACCGTTAGATTTCAGAATTTCACGGATCAACTACACCTTATTAAGGTTTCTGATAAATTTATTCACCAGATTCATATTGGAGGAATGGGTGTGGGTAAAATAAACTATTGATCGTAGAAACTAAAATAAAAGCATTGGGTGGAGAGAGTAAAAGCTCGAACCACATGCATAGACTAACGTACAGTCTACGTAACAACAAATTGCTGCTATCTTTAGTTATTACATAACTGAGTACACGAAGTTTAATTAAACGTCTGTTTTTAAAGTTTAATTCCCATTCATTTCATTTTGTTTTCAATTAATATATACTTTATATGAGTAGCAGCAATTTCGCCACCGCCTATGTAGGTTAGCACCGCCTGGAGAGAGATCGTTTGGCACTATTTTGGAGATTGATTAAAAATTATTGCATCAAACTTCTCCCTGCGAATTTAAGTCGCTATATCAAAGTGAGAATTCTAACTCATCTTAAACTGGTGCGGTTTGGACACAACCAACTATATAATCTCTTACCTATTATTATCCAACTATTTCACTTCACGTTTCAGTATCAATACGAAACTTTCTAATTATAAAAAAATGAAGATGTGTCATCCTGACTTAAATAAAAGTTTTCCACTTTCAGTATTCGTTCTTCTATTTTGGATTTTATGACTTAAATTTGAATGCGATGTAGTATATTTTTCAGATTGAACTCATTTAACCTGTGGCATTCGTGTAACCAGTCACAAGTTTGTAAGAAAAAAAATATAGGGACATAGAAACCAAACATGGCCTCACCAAAATTTACTTTAGGTTCTCACCAAATTTCCCGTGCGCAAAGTCAACTACTCAGCTCAGGCTTTCAATTATATCAACTGTATTGACCACATGGCCTCACTACTATCCATATTTATTACAAATCACTCGTTTGGTCAACCCCCAAAGACGCTTTTTTATTTCTGGTGAGGAGAGCTCAAAATACTTTGAAAAACTCTGTTCTGCTTCTTCTTTTTCATAGTATTTTGTCACCTCAATAAAAAAAATTTAGTATTTGAAAAAACACACCATTATGAAGGAACTACAAAAAAAAAAGAATAAAATCACTCAAAATGAAAAAAGTAGACGCAGATATGAATTGATTTAGATTTTGGTAGTATCTTTTTTTGTACTTCACTCTGTTTTATATTCATAGTTTGACAACTTCAGGGATAAAGACAGGGTATCGGTCGATGCAGTCCGACCAAGGTCCATCCGTTGGTGTCTTGATCGTACGGTTACATTTCCAGACAGCGGAGTTACACTTGAATCCACTTCCAAACGCTATCTGCCAAACCCTATCGCTTCTCTTCATCCTCCCTTGAGCCTCTATGTAGCTTAGCTCATACCACAACGAAGACGACGACGTGTTACCAAACCTATGTAGTGTCATTCTCGAAGCTTCCACGTGTTCTCCTGACAGCTGCAGACTCTTTTGCAGCTCGTCGATCACTGCTCTTCCTCCTGCGTGGATGCAGAAATGCTCGAAGGCCTGCTTGAAGTCTGGTATGTATGGCTTCCACTTTGGATTGAAGATCTTACGTCCGATAAGCGATGATAGGAAGAGAAGCTGCTCCGATGCCGGTAGAACCAGAGGACCTAATTAAGAATAAAAAAAAATTATATATTCCCATTATCTATACAGTTGCACTTTGTAAAAATAATTTAATCTAAAACTAAAATTACTTGAACTATTCTATGCATTATAGTCATAATCCATATTAGAAAAAAATAATGAAAGTAATACGATCAAGCATATGTTTAGTGTATATTATTTGTTAGTTACCTATGGTAGTGATGTTAGCTTTCAAGGCTTCTCCGGCGATGGTCATGAGATCTTTAGACAAGTTGATCCCCACGTTACCTTCCTTGTCTTCCTCCTCCATAACACAGTAGTACGACTTATCATCAGCACCCTGGTGGGTCCTGACAAGGTGACAGAGCTTGTACTTAGCTCGCCACCTGTCGGATCTGCGGTTAGAGAGGAGAACGGCGGCGCCACCCATGCGGAAGAGGCAATTTGGGAGCAACATGGCTCTCTCATTACCCTTGTAGTAGTTAGGAGTAATGATCTCAGTGCTAATTATGACTGCGTTGGAGTTAGGATGGACTTGTAACAAGTCACGTGCTACATCGACGGAGATGAGGCCGGCACTGCATCCCATCCCGGAAAGGTTAAAGCTTTTAATGTTACTTCTGAGCTTGTATTTGTTAATAATCATGGCGGAGAGAGAAGGCGTTGGTGAGAACAGAGAGCAGTTAACAATGAGGATGTCGATGTCTTTAGGTTTAAGGCCTGTTTTCTTGAAGAGATCTTCCATGGCGGTGAAGATAACCATTTGGGCTTCGTTTCTTGCGGATTCCATGGTTGGAGCTGGAGGGATGTAATGAATAGCTGGAGGGAGACAAGTCTCTTCACCTAGACCTGATCGCTCGAGGATTCTCATTTGGAACTCAACGCTCTTGGGATTGTCTTTAAGGATGAGGCGAGAGTGCTCCATGAACGAAGAGAACGGGACACGGCACGTGACGGGAGGCTTGTAGCAAGAGTAGTCTACAAGGTAGACGGTGCGTGGCTTGGACATGAAGTAAACGGTTGAGACGAAGATGATGAGGAAAGAGGAACAAAGGATATGAAGGAGCTCGAAGTGGAGTGAGCTCAAGACACTGAGAATCTCTTGGGGACCCATTCGGAGAAGCTCGATGCCGACGGTTGCTATGATTGGAATCATAAGGAGAGTGAGGAAGTGGTTGACTAGGTATTGGTAACCGAGTTTCACATATTTAAGCTTCACGGAGCTCGAGAGATCAGACATCTTGGAAGAGTCTTGTTAAGCCTATGATGTGGTTTGGAGGGAGACATATGAAAGAGAGAACAGGGGTTGTAATATAAAGGAGAAACAGAGGTAAGTTGGCAGATGAGAGGAGTTAATGTTATGACTCAAACTCTCATGCCACTCAACGCTCTTTTCTCTCTGGCTTCGTCTTTCTATTTAATTTTGCATTTTCATGATTCGTTTACCAATCTCCTTTTCTCTTCTTTTCTATTGTTCCAGTTGTAGCCAGACACACGTCATTTATGGTGCAAAATTGCAAATGATTATGGAGAGTGAGACTTTTACCCACCTTTTAATTCCATCTCATCGAGCCTATAAAATTACTATGCAAAAACTAAAAAGAGATGTGTGATCAGTTGACTCAGTTACATGCATGTTCGGTTTGATTTGAGATCAATATAATGTGTTTCGTGATAAAAAAAAAGGTTCAAAGCGTTACACAGCCAGGTACAAACACTTTTATATATCAGTTCAATTTTTTTTTTAATACAAAATGTAACTATGTGGAAAAGACATTTATATTGTAATCTTGGAACATTTTTTGAAAACTGTAATGAATATAATGCAGTAAAAAGTCTTAACATTACGCTAATTGTAAGAAAAACTGTTTTTTTTTTTTTATTATTATTTCATTATATAGTTATAAAGAGAATAATCAAACTAACAACCTAAACTTGGCGATGTATAGATCACCAAATTGAAGAGAGCAAATAAAAACGTTATCACTCGAGCATTTGTTCACGTGAAATCTGTCACATTAATGTCTTTACTCAACAAAACTCGATTCAATGTATCCATGATTTTGTATAGTAGAGAGAGTGGAGTGGAGCTACTTATTATCGTTTTCTCTTGTGGGGGAGTGAATTAATAATGTTTTAACAGTTTTTATGGCTTTTTAAATCATTGAATCCGAAGGCGATATCTCCAAAACCGCCCCATATCATTGCTGAAAAATCGTAAGGATATTGAATGGGGAATTACGTTTTTGTTCGGTTTGGTTTTAAATTGGTGTAACGTTGACGTATCATAAGTCTAAATGTCTAATCATCAAATTATCTCCACGAAAGTCAAGAGATCATAGTACACTTGGTGTGGAGTGTGGACTATACATACACGTGTAGACTATTCTAATATATGAAACAATGGTCCGGTCATACTTCATACGGATAATGGGTAAATGATAACATAATGTGGGTGTCTCTGACCAACCAGCGGCTAACCATATTTTTTTTCCTTTATTTATATAAATTAGTACACACGGCAACTTTTTTTTTTTTTTTTTTTTTTTACATATGTGACAGTTTGATATTTATATCCATAAACTAATCTTCTTGGATTGCTTTCGGTTGGGTTGTTTATTTGTTTATTTGTTGGGTTTTAATGTTGAAGGAGGTTGGGATGTTGACGATTGTTTTTTTTCAACATTCAGCACTACTGGCACTTTGTTCCTTGTAGTAGTAACTTTAGTAAACCTACCACAAAAAATAACATCCTCCTCTGGACACATTGCAAAATGTTATCTTAGGAAGAATCTATTTTTCTTGGACAAGAAAGAGTCTACGTACTTCTCTTTCTTTCTTTTCATTCCCAGTCAATAATTGTAAAAAAGTTATCTTGATTTACATATACTGTATAGATATTTTTTGACAAGATTCCTTAATTATATATGGTTAAAATCTTCATGGCTGCATCGAGATTCCCTAATTTTACAAGATCCATCCTTCGTTAATAAAAAAGTCTGCACAGCCTCAGAATCTTTTACGTAACATCTTTATTAGTATTTGATGTTGCCATTGAGGCCTTCTTGTCAAGGTCTGAAAGAGAACCTTCAACTGCCAATGAATTGCTGGCCATTCACATTTCATCGACCTCTTTAGATACTTACAAAAGCCCAAATTCAGTTCATTAGCTTTGCTTCAAGCCCAGGGCTAATATTAGAGTTATACTAGTCCAATTTTATAAAAGTTAAATGGAACAACAACTAGTAGTATTATTCAAAGAATACAAAAGGGTCACAACATAAACTATATTATCCCTTACCCTCGAAAACAATAAATTAGTTAATCTTTTTTTTTGATATAAAATAAATTAGTTAATCTAATCGCATGATCTAGTCTGCCATTACACCTGATTGATCAAAGTCTATTAAAAATGGCAGAGTACTTGGTAACCGGAGGAACCAGCTTTATAGCCTCCCATGTCATCAAGGCACTTCTTGAATCGGGTCATTTCGTAAGAACAACTGTTAGAGACTCAGGTACTTATGCATTCTCAGCTTTTGCTCCAACAAAATTTTTTTTTGGTTTCTTATGGATTCTTGATTTTTTTTTTAATTTCTTGTGGTAAAGAAGATGAAGAAAAAGTTGGTTTCTTGTGGGAGTTAAAAGGAGCAAAAGAAAGGTTGAAGATCTTCGAAGCCGATCTAACGGTAGAGGGAAGTTTTGACGAAGCTGTCAACGGTGTTGATGGAGTTTTTCACATCGCATCTCGAGTTTCTGTTGGTCTGGACAGCAACAACATGGTCCAAACACATCATCTCATTTATTTAATTGTCAGATCATGTTTTATTGACACTAGCTTGATGTGTATTGGTTTTTGTTTCTTGTTTTCATTAGGAGAGATTTGATCCTGATCGAAGTGGAATAATGAATGTGATGAACTCTTGTGCAAAGTCAAGAAACACTGTGAAGAGGATTGTTCTCACGTCTTCTTCAACAACAATACGGTACCGTTTTGACGCTACACAAGTCTCTCCACTCAACGAATCGCATTGGACTGATCTTGAATACTGCAAACGCTTCAAAGTGAGAAACTTTCCTCATTGTTGTTTACTTGTTTGCATTGCCTGATTGAAAAATTTATTGTATGATTGGAGATGTCTGAAAATGTATGTAGATTTGGTATGCTTATGCAAAGACTCTAGCGGAGAAAGAAGCTTGGAAGATCGCAGCTGAGAAGAAGCTAAACCTAGTTGTCGTGATCCCTACGTTTTGTATTGGTCCAATTCTTAGTCCAAAACCCACAAGCTCCCCTCTAATTCTTCTGTCCGTTGTCAAAGGTTAGAGAATCTTATCACTCCCATAATTACATTTTAGTTTCACTATTAGTTTTGTGTCAGTTTAAGCTGATCTTGTGTTGACTAGGGGCACGTGGAAGATACCCAAATTTCAGGGGAGGGTTTGTGCACATAGACGATGTAGTTGCTGCACAAATCTTAGCAATGGAAGAGCTTAAAGCATCAGGAAGGATCTTATGTTCGAGTTCAGTGGCTCATTGGTCAGAGATCATTGAGATGCTAAGAATCAAATACCCATTATACCCATTTGAGACCAAGTATGTAATATATCCTCTGCTCTAGATTTGACATCTTTAAAGATATGTTTTTCATGTATCGAAACAAAACTTGTAACAGATGTGGTAGTGAAGAAGGGAGAGATATGCCTCATAGCTTGGACACAACAAAGATACAAGAACTTGGCTTTACATGTTTCAAGTCATTACCTGAGATGTTTGATGACTGTATCAAGTGTTTCCAAGACAAGGGTCTACTCTGAATACAAAATTTGATCAAGTTTGTGTGAGAATATGGATTTATTCAAACATAAATGAGATCTCTTATCTAAATAATTCCAATCTATGACTGTACCCATTTATCTTAGACTTTGAAACAGAAATAATACCATATTACCATCTCGCTCATGTCTAGTGGTGTTTCTTCTTTCTTTGGACTGATACTACTGTCACGTGTTTGACACATGCACATGTCCGTACAAATAAAATTACAGGTGCACGTGTCAGTCTCTCTAGTACTCTCTACTTTAAGGTAGTGGAGAATGTCACTCTGGAGAGTCGCCTCCATTTCATTTTTGGTCGCTCACAAGTCACAATCACCATTAGCATCCTTCAAAAGCATAAATGCGATGCGACCCAGCTGTTATGTAGTACTAGTGTAAGTATTTCAATTAAATTCAACTCACGACTTAAAATTCCCATGCTGTAGAATCTCTCAGTGACAGAGAATTTATCTCCTGATTAGACAACATTACAAAAGAAAGGTACGACACGAAGAGACAAAAGAGATACCAAGACTAACAAAGAACAATACATAAGGAATTAAGGATATAGAGAAAAACACAAAGATTGAAGAAAGTGAAACCAACATCCTAATCTTTGGAAATCACTCCCTTTGGACTGCTCTAAAAGAACATGAAAAATCCAAAGGAGATCAGAATGCAAGGATCATACTTTCTAGCTTCTTCATCATGTTTATGCGAAACAGAAAACGAAGCTAACAAGTCGTAAACTAGACACGAGCTTTCGCAGTATGTGTTGTATTTATTGAAATTGACTCTTATTATTCAAAAGCGATGTTGGGAGGCGGCGTGAGTTGATCGGCATAGGCAAACTTCAAATCACCAAGCGCGAGATCCATATCAGTGAAATCGCATTCAGGTAGCTCACTTGGAATGCTGTTTTCAAACCCGCTGATGTTGATATCATCATCGAGCAAAGAGTAATCATCCAGCAGATAGTCAGATTCAGCAGTAAGGAAACAGTCAAAGTCTAGCTCTGCATCATTTGCACCAGAAACCATAGAATCCTCTTCCGCTGATAAGAAGCTTAGATCAGGGATTTGCAGATCCGAAAAGTCGAAACTGGCAAACACTTCCTTGGTTGATTCACCAGACGCAGCAACATCTTTGTTCAGAGACATCTTTCCTTTAGACAAATCATCAACACTGACACAAGAAACAGAAGCAGAAGCAGGAGAACGCAAGCACTGGCTAGTCACTGATATAACCGATGATGAAACAGTAGAACATGAAGTGGCAAATGTATCATACTCAACCTTTTTGTCAACATAAGCCTTCTCAGCTTCTTCAATAGTTCCATAAGTACCCAACCATTTCTTAGTTCTAGTGATGGGGTTCATAATCTCAGCAGCAAATCTGCCTGATGGCCTCTGCCTAACTCCCACAGGATACTTAGCTTGCCTAGTAGATGTCTTTCTAGACGTTTTGACACCATTGCAACTATCTCGAGAACTCTCAGAGTACTCAGATAGGAAAGTAATCTCATGGACAATACGCTTTACCTTTCGAGGTCTAGGTAAACTGAGCCATTCATCGCCAGAGGAATCATCATCAGTAGCATCAGGATCACTGACAATAACACTAACTTTTCTCAACAATCTCTTAGGATGCACAGAGGACTTCATATCTGATTCACAATTCAAAAACACCACGAAAAACAGCAAAATACACACTCAAAATCTCTGATCAAAAGTGCTGAATCAGATACGAAACTTCAAAGCTTCTGTTTCAGCGAACTATGAAAAAAGGTATTTTTTGCTTTTCGTGAAAACCCCCAAATACTTCAACGCCAGAACAAGTCCTACAACAAAATCGAAATCCAGAACCAAGGGTTAACCTTTAGACTCTTTCTGTAAGAGATAACACAAACGATAAAGAAGGAAGAAAAGGCCATACCTTTTTAGTCTTAAGCCCATGGAAATGGAAGGAACCTCAAGAATAAGCCTCTGTTTCGAGCAGAAGCGAAGAGCGTTAAGAACAGCGGTCAGAGTCAGACCAAAGAACAAGACAGACGAGGAAGGAGACGACTGATTCGTAAAAGAGACTTGAAACAGAGACAAAATCACAGCCGATTCAGACAAAGCCGACATAAAGCCGCGTTACAAACGCCTTTTGGTATTCCGATATCTAGCTCAGAGACCCAAAAATCACGCCTTTCACTGTTCCTGTTCTTCAAAAGAGACACAACCCAGAAGAGATAAGTGACAAAATACTGAAAGGATAAAACCCAGAGAAAGAAACAAACACACCTACAACCTAAAACCCTACAGTAGAGAAATCAAAAGCGGTGAAAATTTTATTTTCCAACGGATATATATGAAACGAAAGATCCGTGATTTATTATTAGTACCCAGGAGAAAGGTAAAAAAATTGTTGATTTAAACTCCGATTCAAGTAAAAACGCAGATCTTTAGAAAGAGAGAAGCATAAATTACAGTCAGAGTAACCAAATTCAAAGAGACGAAATGGTGCAGAGATGGTTTTTATTTAATGAATGGTTTCGCTGAGAAATGCTGAGAGTTTGTGGAAAAAAAAAATCTTTCACCTACCTTGTGGAGCTATTTCTGAAATTCTATCTGTTTCTCTCAGGATAAAAGCTCCCTTTATATTCTCTTAATTAATATTTACCACCTTAAATTTCTCTTAACTTTGTTAAGTGCTGGTCAAAACAAAAGAACTATTCCTCTGTTTTTATATAAATTTATTTATTTATTAGAATCATTCAAACAAATGTGGAGAATACATATTAACTATTTTTAATAATATTACCTACAATATTTTTCCCCATTTTTCTTTTTAAAATATTTTTTGGCTAAAATTATCATGTTAACTAGATTATTATATATAGACAGTAAAGTATATGAATTGTTGGCTATTATTGTGATAAATCTTGTTATCTATATTTAGCCACTAAAATCAAATTCATAGTAGTCGAACATCAAAATATTTTCTTTTTGAAAAATTCCTTCAAATACATTTAAATATTCAAATAATATATATATATATATATACCCTTATATTTTCTAACTCGTTATCTTTTGTGGTGTTATTTATTTGTTCAAACTTGTGGTGTTATTTAAATCTGTTTAGATCAAAATTATTCTTATAAATATGAGTCATAATTTAATATCTTGATTTTCTCTTACATGGTAGATTTCTCACATGTAATAGGCATACATTACCAAATTATTTTGAATGTCCTAAACATACAATCTACTGATGATGCTGAGTGATGGTCTGTTAGCATATTTCAAACTCTCAAACAAACTTATTAAGCTTGCAACTTTACAAGTATCGCATATTTGACTTTTTTTTTTTTCATGTAAACATGTTATGATATCAAATATTAATATAACGTTAAAAAAAATTCTAGAGTTCTAAACCTCCACCATTTCGTATCTCAATGGTTTTAACAAACCAAGCATGCACTATTTTCAGAATCTAGTTCTTTAACTTATCATAATAACTCTTTTATAAATCTTTGATATATCATACATAATATAAAATCTGTCAAAAGTCTCTAGTAATTTATCATTGTAGAGTATTGATATTTTTTTGTATTTCTAAGGTCTAGTAAATTTTGACTTTGACTTTTTATGTTTTTCTAAAAAAAAAGCAAAATGCAAAATGCAAGATGTTTTTCAATGCAAATTGTTTTTAATAGAGTCCTAATTAACATATATATGGAGCAAACTTTTTTAAAATATATGGGTACTGATTTTTCCTTCGACTTAGACAATCTCCATTGCACAATTTTGGTGGGTATCTAAACATATATTTAAGAGAAATTTCTTCTAGTACCACATTTTTTTTTCCAAATATACCACAATTTGTTTTGCCAAAAATATCACAAAAGTTATATTTTTCCAAGTATACCATATATATATAATGATTTTTTGAAGATGTCTTTTTAAATGTTTAAAAGTGTTTTTAAAATAATAGCAATTCAACAAATAAATTTTTGAAGATGTCTATAAAATAATAACAAATTCAATAAAAAGTGTCTTAAACATAGTGTCTCATATTTTCTTAAATAAAAGATATTTTATAATATTAATTTTTCTTTTTAGTTATATGTTATAGACATTTTCCAATATGTTCATCGAGATGCTATTAAGGTGTTGTGCGTTATAATATTAATCTTATCTTTAAAAAAAAAAAAAAGATTAATCTTATGTTTTGCGTTATGAAATTAATCAATTATGTGGCAGACGTAGATAGACATATGTTATCATATTCTTTTTTTCTTTTTTCTTTCGTGGTATCTTTCTCTTTTGAACGAAGTACGGAATTGACAATATTATACGAGACGTATATGATAAGGGACATGCATTCATATTCTCATGGCGCATGACCCAAACCAAACCATACTTTAATATATCATGCATCTATCATGGCCCACTCCGAATCCATTCGCCTCAAATCCATTTCGAGCTTTGCGATTAACTCTTCTCCTAAAGAAGAAAAAGAACAAGTAAGTACTCTCTCAGCATGCGGTGTAATAATCCACACGCAATATTTCAACAAGTATGTGCTTCTCTTAAGGCAATTAGGCAAACAGAAGAAGAGGCATCCGTAAAACATATTGAGTGTAATCAAAACTCTTCCAAATTGTCATAAACTTGGCTCCATTACAATATACATATAGAACAAAAGACATCTTTTATAAGCTAAATCATGTTTATTTTGTTTTTATCTATAATATAATAATAACAAAATCAAAAAAATCTATGATTTATTTTATCTTTAATTACAAATGTTGTTTTATAGCTTATGAATCTGTTGGACAAAAAAAAAAAATTAAAAAAAATCTTATGAATCTTTTTTATTTATTTTTAAAGATGCATGATTCATCACTTTTCCCACTTACTTATCAAAGGACCCATTAAACTTAACAGATAACTCTTAATTGTTTTTATTTTTCTTTCTAGTGGGATCCATGTGAATGAGCCATCTGGTTTTCAGTTTTATGAATCTTGTTGTCTGAATTGTGTCTGTGTCTGTGTCTGTGTGTGATCTGAGAGAAGGAAAATGGCTGACCAGACCAGAGAAGGTCTTCTCCCTCGGAAAGGTTGTTCAGATTTCGGATTCAATGACTCCAGCATCATCGACGACCGTCGTTCCAAGTTCCGGTGTTTTCGATTTTTCTCCGACGGGATCACCGCTTCCTGGATGGCTTTCTACGACATCGCAGCTAAATTGTACGAGATGGGTCGTTCCGACCGTCGGAAAGTTTACTTTGCTGTTAAGATGGGGATGGCTCTCGCGCTCTGCTCTTTCGTCATCTACCTCAAGGAGCCACTCCGTGACGCTAGCAAATACGCTGTTTGGGCGATTCTTACTGTTGTCGTCGTCTTTGAGTATAGCATAGGTACTCTTTGGCTCTTAAATTTTATAGATTCGGAGTCGATTCAATTAAGTTTTCCGGATTTTGATTAAAAATCGAAACTTTTCTTCTTCTCGATTCAAAATCTAATCTGATCTGTCTTATGATTATTGCTCCATTCACATCAAATTCCTGCTGCTTTGTCCGATCTAACTCCATTAGTCGACAGAGATCTCTGATCTGATTTGGCTCCAATTCTGCTATTTGTTTGTTTTTGCAGGAGCAACATTGGTCAAAGGGTTCAATAGAGCAGTAGGAACACTCTCTGCTGGAGGACTTGCTCTTGGCATAGCTAGACTCTCTGTCGCAGCTGGAGAATTCGAAGAACTCATTATCATTATCAGTATTTTCCTTGCAGGTTGCACCAATTCTCTCAAATCCATATTTTATATTTTAAAGGAAGCTCTTTTTTTTATATATATACATATATATTAATCCTTGTGAATCTGTTTGTTGGTTTATTAGGTTTTTCTGCAAGTTATTTGAAACTCTATCCGGCAATGAAGTCGTACGAATACTCATTCAGGGTGTTTTTGTTGACATACTGCATCGTTCTTGTGTCTGGGAACAACACCAGAGACTTTTTCAGCACTGCTTATTACAGGTTTTTGCTGATCCTGGTTGGTGCTGGTATCTGTTTGGGTGTTAACATTTTTATACTTCCGATTTGGGCTGGAGAAGACCTCCATAAACTAGTGGTTAAGAATTTTAAGAGTGTGGCCAATTCCCTCGAAGGTAGAGAGATACATCATAAGATGGTCTAAGTCTTTTTGGGGTTTAGCCTGATTCTTTTTCCCCTGGTTTTGTTTGTATTACATTCAGGATGTGTTAATGGGTACTTGCAATGTGTTGAATACGAGAGGGTGCCTTCGAAGATTCTCACTTACCAAGCTTCTGATGATCCATTATACAGTGGATACAGGTCTGTGGTCCAATCTACAAGCCAAGAAGATTCTCTGGTGTGTTTTCTGTATGACATTTTTGTTTAGCAGCACTAGATAATTTTTAAAAGAAGTTGGATGATGAGAAACAAGTACCTCGTTTTTTCGCAGCTTGATTTCGCAGTATGGGAGCCTCCACATGGACCTTACAAGACTTTCCATCATCCATGGGCAAACTATGTCAAACTTAGTGGTGCGGTAAGGCACTGCGCTTTCATGGTCATGGCAATGCATGGCTGCATCCTTTCGGAAATTCAGGTATATTACCATATTTGTGTCATTCATCTCTATCTATTTCACAAACAGGGTACTATAATGATTATTGGATGCTATACCCAACTGCTTCAGATGCTACTAGGTTAATCTTCGTCGTTTAGCTAGACTGTGTTACTCTGAGAAAGAAGTCTGATATTTGTCTTTCACTTGCTGAGAAAAAAGCTTGAAACCAAGAAAATATCTGAAGGAGCCATATTGCTGTAGAGTGTGAACTTCTATTTAGAATTTGTTGTTACTAGTTAATCGATGTCATGTCAGTACGCTTTGTGTTCACTGCTTATTGTATACCTTATTAAACTTGTGATATCAATTGGTGTGTGATTTGTAGGCAGCTCCAGAAAAAAGACAGGCTTTCCGTCACGAACTTCAGAGAGTTGGAAATGAAGGGGCCAAGGTCTTAAGGTTGTTTGGGGAAAAAGTGGAGAAAATGGAGAAGCTAAGTCCAGGAAACATTCTGAAGGAAGTTCAACGAGCAGCAGAGGAACTACAGATGAAAATAGACAGTAACTCCTTCCTACTTGTCAACTCAGAAAGCTGGGCCGCTATCAAAGAGAAAGCCGAAGCTGAAGAAGCGCAACAAAACTATCATGAAGCCAAAGACGACGAGACCAAAGTGATCCAATCCCTCAGCCAGATTTGGGACAACAACAATAACCATCATCCTCAGAATCAACACACTGGTAATGATTCTCAGCTATGGATCTCAACAGAGAGTATGATGCTTAGGAACCGAGAAAACTGGCCAAGCGTCTCATTCATAGGCGGTTCTATGATCAACGAGATAGAATCTAAAGTATACGAAAGCGCAAGTTCTTTGTCGCTAGCCACATTCGCCTCTCTTTTGATCGAGTTTGTTGCAAGGCTCCAGAATGTTGTTAATGCGTTTGAGGAGCTAAGCACTAAAGCCGAATTCAAAGAACAAGTAAGCGAGACACATAACAAGATAGATAAAGCTGGATTTTGGACCAGACTCAGCCACTGCTTCAGCTCTTAAGGATTAGCAGAAGCAAATGTGTGGTGAATATAGTTGATTTTGTATAGACAAAGAAATATAATTTGCTTTGTTTTTCGTGAAATAAGTTCATAATTCCTTTTCTTTGTGTGTTTGGCAAGTCACATGAACTCAACTGGAAGTTTTGTTCTCAGTTTTTTGTTTTGTTTTGTTGAAATACAGTTTTCACATTGATCATCAAAACTGTTTTTGTCATTTGTTTTGAAAAGTCAAATCGGAGAAGTCACACAAAACCGAAGAAGAAGGCTTCCGCCATTATTATTCGCATAAGAAAGCCCAATAAGCTCCTTAAGGCCCAGTAGAACTTTATTAGTATCTTTTATTTTTTTTTTCTATTTGCCATTTGATTTCTTCTAAACAATCCTTCTTTCTTGGTCGTAAAAATCAAAAGCAGAATATTATATTTTCTCGCTCGCAAATCGCAAGTTCGTCCTCTTTATCGCTCCTCGGAATCCGAATCAGTTCTTCTCCGACGCCCGGATCGGTAAGATTGTTTCCTCTTTCTCCTTATGCATCACAAGATCTCACCTCTACAGCTTCATTTCTGATTCACATTCCCTTTAATCTAACTTTGAACCGGTGAATCTGGGGGACGTTTCTCGTTTCTTCTGTTTGGTTGTTCACACCGATTCATTTCGGAATCTGCAGTTGTTTTCTTATCCATTTTTTGGAAGTAGATGAAAAATTGGTGGAACCCAAGATAACACTCGAGTGGCCTTAGTTTTTTTGCTCAGATCTGTGAATGGTTTATCGTATTTATTTCTAAATATTTTAGTCGAGATCCGAAATCTATTACTTGATCTCTCTTAGCTCTGATTCATTAGCTCAGAGGTATCATTTGGTTGTTTTTGTGCATTGCAGTGACTTGATTCGTAACTTTCACATAAGGTGGAATTAGAGATGGCTATGGTAGATGAACCGTTATATCCTATTGCTGTGCTCATAGATGAGCTTAAGAATGATGACATTCAGCTTCGATTGAACTCCATCCGTCGCCTATCTACGATAGCTCGTGCCCTTGGAGAGGAGCGCACAAGGAAGGAATTAATCCCTTTTCTGAGTGAGAACAGTGACGATGACGACGAGGTTCTCCTTGCAATGGCTGAGGAATTGGGAGTTTTTATTCCGTTTGTCGGAGGAATTGAGTATGCTCATGTTCTTCTCCCTCCTCTGGAATCTCTCTGTACCGTTGAAGAGACCTGTGTGAGAGAAAAAGCTGTGGACTCTCTTTGTAAGATTGGATCTCAAATGAGGGAAAGTGACCTTGTTGACTCCTTTGTTCCTCTTGTGAAGGTTAGATAATAAGAGAGGATATATATAGCTTAAGATTATACCCTTTTATTAATAAGTTCAATCAAGGCTTAATTTTTTTGGGTCCTGTTCTTTAATCCTGTAGAGATTGGCAGCTGGTGAATGGTTTGCAGCAAGAGTTTCCGCATGTGGTATATTTCATGTTGCATACCAAGGTTGCACTGATGTTCTGAAGACAGAGTTACGGTCTACTTATAGCCTTTTGTGCCAAGATGATATGCCAATGGTGCGAAGAGCTGCTGCATCTAACCTGGGGAAATTTGCTACAACTGTAGAGTCAACCTATTTGATTGCTGAGATCATGACTATGTTCGATGATCTCACTAAAGATGGTACATAGTGCTTCAAATATGTTTATGTTATACTATGTGTGCTCACCACTTAGAAATAGTTTGCATGGAACCTGGAGTATGGTAAATAGATCATATTTGAAATTAAAAAGTAATGTTTGGTGAAGAAACCTTTTATAGAAATGTTTGTTTCTTATTGATGCTAATATAGTTTGAATTTTAACCTTCATTTCAGACCAAGATTCTGTTAGACTGTTGGCTGTTGAAGGCTGCGCAGCTCTGGGAAAGTTGCTCGAACCGCAGGATTGTGTTGCACGCATTTTACCTGTTATTGTTAATTTCTCTCAGGTTAACTGCCGCCTCTAGATTATATACAGTATATAAATATCTGCTGTTGCATGCGTAGTTTTCTTCAGTAAAAGTTTGCAGTTCTGATAATTTTTTATGCTATATGGTTTGTTTTGTTGAGAGCAGGATAAATCTTGGAGGGTGCGTTACATGGTTGCTAATCAGCTATATGAACTTTGTGAGGCAGTGGGTCCTGATTGCACTAAGTATGTGTCTTATGGATTTTATTTTATTTTTTATCATCTTTGTTAGACCTACGCTTCCTTTCTCGCAAAAGTATTTTGTGACCATCAAGGACGTATACATCTAACAGCGTTTACTGAAAAGTTGCTTTATTTTTTTTTTGTACATATAAGAGCTTTGAATGGTAGATTTATGTTGGTGTGTGTATACTATTATTGTGACATCACATGTTGTTCTTTCCCTAGGACGGATTTGGTTCCAGCATACGTGAGATTGTTACGAGACAATGAGGCAGAAGTGCGAATAGCAGCAGCGGGAAAAGTGACCAAGTTCTGTCGTTTGTTGAATCCAGAGCTTGCTATTCAACATATCCTTCCTTGTGTGAAAGTACTTCGTTCTGCTCATTAGATTTTATCAACTTCCATTTAAAAATTGACTGTTTGATGCCCCCTGACTCGTAATATTCTGATTCCAACTCTGTCTGGCAGGAATTATCATCGGACTCTTCTCAACATGTCCGATCTGCTTTAGCTTCAGTAATAATGGGAATGGCTCCTATCCTTGGGAAGGTATGAACTGAATACAGCCAACATTATTTTTGCTGTTTCGTTTTTCATCATCAAAATAAGCCACACCATCTGTTATGGCTATAGCAGGCGCCAACTGGTGCTTCAGACCTGATTAATAATTATTAACATACTAAAATCTTCAATACAGGATTCAACCATTGAGCATCTGTTACCAATTTTTCTTTCCCTCTTGAAAGATGAATTTCCTGATGTTCGCCTCAACATCATAAGCAAGCTCGATCAAGTCAACCAGGTTTGTTGCATCTCTCTCTCTCGTCTTCTTTAGATTTAGCTACTTTTATTACTTGCTTATTTAATTGGTGACTAATTATCTTTTACGACAGGTTATTGGGATTGATTTACTATCACAATCCTTGTTGCCGGCGATTGTAGAGCTTGCTGAGGATCGGCACTGGAGAGTCCGGCTTGCGATAATAGAGTATGTTCCTCTGTTGGCCAGTCAGTTAGGTATAGGGTTTTTCGATGACAAGCTTGGAGCCCTATGCATGCAATGGCTGCAAGACAAGGTATCCTCTTGAATCCTTATATTTTGCATATGCAGTGTTGAATTATGTCTGATCCATTCTTGATTTGGGATGTTGACACTGTTCACCTTCTTCAGGTTTACTCCATCCGTGAAGCTGCAGCAAACAACCTAAAGCGTCTCGCAGAGGAGTTTGGTCCTGAATGGGCAATGCAGCACTTAGTACCCCAGGTCTGTTTTAATTATTCTTTGAGCATTTCATACTAAAAGCTTCTGTCAGTCTATCTTAGTGTTGATCTCTGTCCAATAGCTCACCTGTAATATCCAATCTCCATCTGTGGTCTATTTTCTTTGAAATAGCTAAGGCTGCCTATATTGAGATCTCCAGTTTGACACTTTTATCATTTAAACAGGTATTGGACATGGTCAACAATCCGCACTACTTACATAGGATGATGGTTCTACGTGCAATATCTCTTATGGCTCCTGTAATGGGATCAGAAATCACATGCTCTAAGTTTCTTCCTGTGGTTGTTGAGGCATCAAAAGACAGGTAAGATAAATTAGATAAATTGGCCAAAATGTTTCTATAACACATCTTAGTTTCTTAATGTTTTTGTTACACATCTCTAATCTCTGCAGAGTTCCAAACATTAAGTTCAATGTTGCCAAACTTCTGCAATCCCTCATCCCCATAGTCGACCAATCAGTAAGATTTTAACAAACTTAGCTCAATTATATTGAAAGCAAATGGAAATTGTTGAACTTTAATGTTTTTGCGTGTCGAAATTTTGTAGGTGGTGGACAAAACAATCCGTCAGTGCTTGGTGGACCTCAGTGAAGACCCTGATGTTGATGTTCGCTATTTTGCAAACCAAGCACTCAATTCCATCGACGGTTCCGCAGCGGTGCAATCCTGAGCTGATTTTTTTCTTCATATGTATTGTCGTTAAGTTAAGTTTCTAATATTTGTGTTCTCTGCGCTTTATTTGGTTTTGTTTGTGTAAAACGCCATTTTGGTTGCTGGCTATGAACTGCAATTATATTTGTTAGTAAAGATGTATTCCCTTTGTTACATTTTCTGCTATTCCGAACCTTGTATGGTCTTCTTAGGTTGCTAATGCTAACACTTTACTCCTTTCATCTGTCGAGTAGAGTTCGTTCTATATTATAGCATCATTTTTGCTATTAGTACAAATAAGGGTTTGAGTTTGGACGATGTTAATGTGTACTTTGTGTATTATTACCAAGTTCATTGGGAATCTGTTAACTGTAGCTTCGTATAGCCATAATTGACAATGACTATGTATTGGTCACGTTGATGATGTTGTAGTGGCTAACTGGCTACATAAGCTATCTCTTGACTTACATGAATCTGTTTTACTTCGGAAAGATAGATGGAATGAAATGCATGTGGTTCTGTCTGGTCTTCTGACTTAGTTCTTGTCTAAAACTTGATCCAACCTGTCTATACTAACTTTTTTTGTCTTCATTAATTTTGTCTTTTCTACTAATCACAAAATCAATACATTAGATTTGATACGTTTTGATAAACAAATCGTCCACAACTTCCTATTCATGATTTAACAAATGAAAAGCATGAATCATTTGACAGTATTTCTAGCCAGACGGGTTTGCCCCTTTTAGCACCCTCCGATAGTATAATATTCTACAGTTACATCTCTCCTATTTTCCAAGAGGCATGAGCTAATCAAGCGGTCGTCAAAACTTCACGGGCTCGAGAGCTACGATGTTGGAGACGACGATGAAGCACCTCAGACATCTCAGTGAAGAAATCAGCATCCCATCTTTGAATCAACAAAGGGTCTTCAGCAAAACAAATGTATATTGATGTTACCGCGCTCTCCACTACCACCATTCCTAAACCCACCTGAAAACCAGCATTGAACCAGTTTAAAAAATGAACAAGTTGGTGATTGGTCATGTAATATTTGGGTGACTAAAGAGTGCACAAAAGGGGTCACTCACAAGGACCATTCCCATCAACATAGCCGTAGATGCAACCATTATGACTCTATCACTGTATTTAATCCAAGCCCATATACCAATGCAAGAACCTGTGATGAGTCCTCCAAAGATGGTTCCCATTAGAAGAACAGCGCCTGAACAGTCATATGCAACAAGTGCCTCTACACCTGTCGACTGAAACAATTCCCAAGCGTCTCTCGCTGATTTGTTGAATCCTTTTCCATACACTGCAATCTATTTAATTAACCAAAAGTTTTATCATTTTGATTCTTCATTGCTCATTGGAGAGAGATAATGATCTTACTGTCTATTGTATCTATAATCTACATACCTGGACATAGGCATACTTGTTAAAAAACCGAACTAGAGTTTCAACTAGATGAAACAAGAAATCGACACAGCAAAGTAGACATTCGTTTCCACAAATCTTGGAACGGAATCCCCTTATCTGCATACACATATTGTAGACCATTTTTATTAAGAATTGGAATAGTTTAACGGACAGCAAAAGAAGCCGGAGACTACCTCCCAGCGAAGTGTTCTAATGGCCGCAGTGAAGAGTGATCCATAGCATATGCTCCCAAATGATGTTGTCACGGCGTACCTAAGTGAGTCTATTAAAGAGCTAGGAGGCAACGATGATGACTCTTCTTGACCACAGTTAAAGAGAACATGAAACACCATTCCAGAAACTATAACGTGGACAGTATTACATAGTACAGCGCCTGTCCAGAATAAGCTAATCGAAAGAACCTGCAGCATATATATATCTTCCAATGATCAAATGGAATATAAACATGTTTTCTTCATAAACCTTAAACAAAACCCGTATGGAAAAATGCAAAACTTGCCAGCTCACCACAAGAAGCCACCAGCGTCCTTCATCCCCCATGCTCGATGCCACAACACCAGATGCTCCAAAAGACCATAAAGACATCCACAAAAGCATGAAGACTGTGAAAGCATGTGCCACCATTATCACCTTAGGAAGTCCCCAAACTAATTTCAGCGCTTTCCGCAGAACTAGCATCGTGAAGGGAAGTCTATACATGAACAAACTCATAACATCAGATTTGATAAGTCTAACCAAATTAACCATATTGGTTCAATCATATTTAACCTCGCACACACCTGTCTATAACTGAAATAACATACAAGAACTGCAACAGAGCTCCAACGGCGAATGCACCGCCCCAGAAGAACTGTCTGCACCAGAAACATAGTACACTAACTACAGCTAGATAGGTTGTTAAGATGTGCACCGAAACTTTCATCATCTCATTGGCGTAAGAGCCAAGCAGCAATGACCAAACCCAACTGATAAAGACTCCAATCCCACCAGCAACAGCATAGAGAGGCCAGTAGTCCTCAGTCAGCCCTTTATGGTTTTCCAAGAACCCGTGAGTGTACCTATCGATGTTTAACCTATCTTGTATTCTAAACCTATTGAGTCCAAGCACAGCAAGCACAAATCCCAAACAAATCATGTGGATCACAAAGATGGCTGACCAGAATACATCATGCCAATGGCGAGACTCACGCACAATGACTCGATTTCCATCTCCACTCCTTCGACTCCGTTGAAGACTCTACAAATCAAAAACGAAGAAAACATTGGTCGCTATGTAAATTTGTTCAAACATTTCTAGCAACTTAAGAAAACAAATCAGACCAGTTCACTCAAAATTACATCATGGACGAGTGTGATAATAACTACAAAAGAAAAAGCTATTCTTTTACATAAGCAACGCCCCTGAATCTTCTTATCAATACAATGCAAATACATAACGTGATCAAACAAATCACACAAAGACACAAGTCTCATAATTCAAAAAAGAGCAAATTTTGCGAGTGACCCGTGATTAAAGTTTCGAAACCAAACTACCCAACTGCTCATAACATGAGAAGAAACAAATCCAGATGCGAGGTTCATCAAGATCCCACTTGTAAAAAGAAAGACTTTACGAAACAAAAAAGTCTAGAAAGCAAAACCCAGAAAGGAGTTCTCAAAATCCTACACAAACTAACTTCTCTTGTACAAAAAAATTAATAAGAGAAACAACAGATTCGTGTGCCCAGATCGAATTCAGGAAAAGTGTAATAAAAATGGGAAACCTGGTCGCCGGAGGAGATGGAGGCGTAATCAGAGGAAGGAGAGACGCTGGTAGTGGAGTCACTCATGACGAAGTACGAGAATGAGATTCAATGACCAGAGCCAAATTTCATGGAAGCATCTTTGAATAAATATGACAAGAGAGAAAGAGAAATGAGGGAGAATAGTCAAATGACAAAGAGATTATAAAAAAGAAAGGAGTGAAAGAAACGTGAAACCAAAGGATTGAGAAAAAAGGGTTTATGAGTCAAAAAAAGAAATATGATCAGAGAGAGTGAGGCCAGACAAGTTTTTGTCAGAGCGGTTCTTTCGTCTTCTTCGTCTTCGTCTTCTTCCTTCCTTTTTATTGGATAAGAAAGACTAGTAAGTTATTTTTATTTTTTTGCAGTGGTCTGGTCGTTTTCGAAGTCACGCTTACTCCCTCCGTAACTATTTATTTTTTTCTTCCTTTCACAAATTTTTTTTTTTCAAGTGGAGTATGATTTTTGTTGTTGATTATCAAACGTTAGAAATGTGAATGATATTATAAAAAGAAAAAAAGAAAAAAAAAAGAGACAAAATTGTAAGTACACCTAGAAGGAAAATGTGGTAAATGTTTAATGTTGTACGGGAAAAATGTGGTAAATGTTTAATGTTGTACGGGAAAAATGCCATAAAAATCCTGAGTACGATTTCGTTGATTTAAATCAACAGTTGGAGAGTTCGGGATTTAAACTAACGAAATCGTACTTTCCAGGATTTTTATGGCATTTTTCACAATGTAGTACATGCATTTTATACCTCGCTACTAACGTCTTGTAAGAAATAATCAGATATTTATAAAGGACCGGTCAAAATCATCTATTGAATCTACGACTATTCTTTTTATTATTATTATTATTTGGTTTGATTGTCAAAAGAATATACTAGCTCTATTTTAATGGCTAGACAATAGTAATATTCTTCATGTGTGTCTGTTCAGAAACGTTTTGAATTTTTCCAGGTTTGTGTTCTTATGACAATTATAAGTTTTTTTATATATATTTCTAGCATGAAAGTGTAAAAAGTAAAAGAGTGGGTTTTGGATGAAGAAAGGAGAAAGTAAAAGGTTGACATATAAGAAAGGGAGAAAGAAAAAAGAAATAACTTTTTTGAAGGACAGAATGATTGAACCCAATAGCTGCCACTTCATTTGTTGTGTGATGGCAAGTGGTGGCACCATGTCTCCGCCACCTCTCTTTGTGCCATGTTTTTTTCTTCTTCTTCTTCTTCTTTTGATAAAAACATTTAAAATCTCTTTGTTCCATGTTACTCTTTCTTTTTGATTTTTGATTTTTTTAGAAAAACGTATTTACATAGAATGATTAGAGTTTGTTAATATATTAATTAGAATGATTAGAGAGTTTATTAATGTATCGAGTAAAATCTCCAAACATGGATAGATCACTTAAGAAGAACATCAAAGGATAAAGTAACCAATCATTGTTTTTTCTTAACATTCAGGTAACCAAACATGTTAGTTTCGTGTAATTTTGTCATTCTGTTTCACATTTATCATGTTTTTGGGCCTCACTTTCTATTCCACATTGTTGTATGTGGGCTTAACTCTCAACACATGGCTCTACGTTGTATATTCATTCATGCGTCTCAGAAAAAGGAGTCTGTGTGTGTGTGGACTGTGGACAACCTGATCCAAATGACCTGTAACGAGGCCCTTCAAGGTTTCATTGTATTACACTCTTTAATTATATAAAAGGGGAAAAATAAAACAAAACAAATTCCATCTGTTTTACTCTATGCAACAAAGGTAAGTACAAGAAACCAAACATAACCAGACGACAGTGTACTCTCTAATTAAACTTAGGAAAGCGACTTTTTCATTTTTCATTGTCACACTAATTTAGCATTTATTAGACGAGAATCCAATGAGAGAATTAGCCAAATCGAAAGTGACACGTGTCCCTTGTTGCTGCACGTTGCCTACGATCGCTAACGAACTCGCCGTCGGTGCAAACGCCAGACAAAAAGTCCCCACCGAGTCCACCGGAATCATGTAGTTCTTCGCCGGCAGAGCCAGCATTTTCCCACCGGGGAAGTGAAAAGCCACCGTCGGGACCTCAATGGTCGTCTTGGTTGATAGATTGTAACACGTGTCGAACATTGCAACGCCCGTTGTTTTCTCCAAGTCCGACGTTCCTTTCAAGAATGAGTCTCTGAGCGAGTTGTAGATTCCGGTCTGGAGACGAGTCACGGCGGTTCCTGAGTCGATGATGATCCCGCCGCTTCCTGACTCGTCCATCTCGAAAGAAGACTGAGGAATCTGAAGCAACTCGCCGCCGACGCTTATTCCGGTGAGTCCAAGGTAGTAAAACGTGTCGAGCTGGTGGTTACGTAGCAACGGAGCCACGACGGCGTCAGGAGGGAGAGAAGTCCCGAATTCAACCGTTGAAGCCGAGTCTGAGTCACGGTCAACGAGGCAGTACGAGAAGGACGTCGTGTTGAGCTGCGACGGAAGAGCTAACAAACCGCCGCCGAGACCGAGCAAACCGGCTGCGCCGACGAACAAACCTTCGTTGCTGTGTCCGCATCCGACGGCGACGTTTTGGACCGAAGTTGAGCCGATTGTGAGAGTCTCGGTGGCGAAATCTCCGACGGTATAAGAACCGTCACCGTAAGAAACTTCGTAGAGACACGTGGCATTTCTGCATTCCGAGACTTCAAGGGCTTTGCACTGTGAAGTGTCGCAAGAGAGAGATTGGTAAGAAGAGGAAGAGGCTGGCTCGAAGATTGGTTCGGTCTGGTGGTAACAGTCAGCGCAAGGAGCGCATTGTAGCCAGTTAACGTCACTTCCAGTATCGAGCACCATGTAAACCTCACGCGCCGGGTTCCCTATTCCGACGCGTGTGAAGTACTCGCCGCTTCCTTGAGTAGTGCCGGAGATCAAAGGAGCTTCGATATCTTCCTGCTCGGTGGTGTACATTGTGGTAACGGGCTTGAGATCTGCTTTGGATATGTTGTTTAAGGCTAGATCTAAACGTGTAAAGAGAGATTTGACTCTAGCTGTGTCGCGGTCGAGTCTGGCTAGCGTGAGTGACTTGTAGTCTGAGTGTTCAACTCCTCGGACAGAAGCCCGTGGATGAAGCTTCAAGCTAAAAGGCCATTGACTCTCTTCTTCTTGCTGGTTGAGCTGAAACGACGACGGGTTCTTGGTTTTGTGAATGGAGTCGGCGACATCGAGTATAGACCTGGTGGTGGTTAGGGAGATCTCAGGCAAGATTCTGGAGAAAACAGAAGAACGCGAAGTGAGGAAGAAGAAGATGAAGAAGAGTAAGGAACGGTGAGAAGACATCTCTTTAGCTTCCGACCGTTAACAGTGGAGAAGAAGAAGTGAAAGAAGCTATTAAAAGAGAGAAGACAAAAGTGTTGTTTGGTGGTGGGGGAAGGGGAAATGAGACAAAAGCTTCTTTTAATTAAACAAAGACAAAGCTGTGTTTGGAGTTATCGCAGTTTTCGAGGAGATTTATATATAAGCAAGTATCTACTTTGAAGAATTTAATCCAAGATTAGATAAATGGTTTAAGGGGAAGAGGAGGTTTCTTCATCGTCTTTAAGTGGGAAGATTTTAATAAACTTGTTTTATGATCTCAATGCGGTTAGTGTGGAGATTGTTGTTTTATTTGTTTAGAATCTAATCTAATCACTCTTTGTTTTATAAGTCCCAGCCACTTTTGAGTGTTGCACATATGCCAATTTTGCCAATGACCTTTATACTACCTTAGCTTTGTTAATGACTTTCAATTTTACAGCTCACCTCTCTGCACCTATTCACCTACGTATATCTATAAAAATAACTATATGCTACTATTAAGCAATATATACATAACAAAGTTAAAAAGTGCCAATACATTACATATGCATTCTGACAAGTGACAACAACAACAACAATAACAACAAAAACATAGAAATGCATATCATATTATCAGTTGTGTTTTAGCATAAAATTACAAATTGGAGGTGCTGAACAACTGAAAATGTGAATTTCATGGGCCTGTGAGTAACTTTTATTTAGCCTTTTTGTACTTGGATGCTTTGATGATTGGGCCCTTTTATATAACACTCCAAGTCTACTACAGTATTATAACTTTGCTACCGAATTATAAATTCTATAATTACACTTCTAATTTCAGTTTGACCTTTTTGATATTTAGAAAGGTTGTTTTTAAATATTATCATGATATCTTCTGGTTTTATACTCTTTTTTATTCAGATACGAAGATATCGCCACCGTATTATTCATTATTTTAGAATTAGATAAAACCTACAAGTTAAAAAAAAAAAAAAAACACAGTTGGATCAAATAAAATGAGTCTTACGTGCGTTTGCGAATCAATTCATTGTCCAATCAGAAATAAGTCAAATTGTTTTGGGTAGTTGTATAAAAAATTAGTTGAGATAATAAACAAAAATATCGAGTGATGATGATAATATTCTCCAATGTGACGTCTCAATCGTGATCGTGAGAGTATACGAGTGCAGTTAAAAGTCTTATCGTATAGCAGTGACGCAAACCATAGGGAGGAACGGAACAAATACAAATTTATTTCTAACTCCAAGTTGGGTTTTTGTAGGAACCACACATCAAAATCCATTGGTTGTTATCTATCCACGTGGCGAGATCTTAAGGGTTAAAGAATCAGAATCTAATTCATCTGATTTATTAATTAATTATTTCAATAATCCCCAATAAAGGATTCATCTTCTCTTTTTTTTTTGTTTGTTTGTTGCTCTTCATCGACTAGTGTTCGTCGTCTCTGTGCGCTCTCTTCTCTTCTCTCTCTTTCGTCGACTGTTAGCTTTTATTCCCCTGCGATATATTATTCCGGCGTTTCAGTATTAGCCGGAGGAGATTGAAAGTTTCGGTTTTTGTTTCCTCTTTTTAGCTGGTCGATTTCCATTTCTGCAGCCATGAGCTCTGTTTTGCAGGTGGAGACTGTAAAATAATATATCTGTTTTTTCAGAAAAACTCGATTTTTTTTCCTATTTATGGTTGTTGCTTGTTGGGGATTGTTGTGGAAGCTAATATTGGTTTATGATTGATGGGTTTTGTTAGGGTTTTACCAAGTCACTCGCTATGACGTTTGTCTCGGAGATTGGTGATAAGACGTTTTTCGCTGCAGCTGTAAGTGTTGTTCCCCTCTTTATTGCTATTGTTTTGTAACGTTGGTCGGAGAAGTCAATGGTTTAGTTTAGTCTATGAAAGTTTAGTTTGATTCTAATCTGGAAACAATTTTGCGGGAAATAGAGCATCTGGGCGTGATAAATCGAATCTCAAATTCTTGTTTGTTGAATTGCCTTTTCATAACTGGAATTTTTAGGTTCTTTGTTCTTCCAGCAAGCTCATTGTTCCTTTCCTTTGCGCATGCCATTGGCATATCTGAATGAGAATTTGTGTCTGGTTTGCTTGGTTTGGGAAACCAGTTTGTGGAGGTTCCTGTAGCTTTTATATTTCCATTCCAATTCATATTGTTTTTGTTAGTTTTGAATCTTACGCAGTCTCCTTAAGGGTGTATGATACTTCTGTTGTTATCTTGACTTGCAAAAGCTTATGAGCTCTTTCCCTTTATCAGATTTTAGCAATGCGTTATCCTAGGAGACTTGTGTTGGCTGGTTGTCTATCGGCTTTGATTGTAAGTTTTTCTTAAAACTTTTTACTATTAGTTTTCAATGAATTTTTCTCCTACATTTGGAAGCTCATGTCTTTACTAATTCTTAGGTCATGACTATCCTCTCTGCTACTCTTGGATGGGCTGCTCCAAATCTGGTATGATTTTTGACTTGTGAATTGCTTATTGCTTGAACTCAGTTTGTAGTTCGATATAATCCTTTGTGTGACAATCCAATCTACTTTTGGATCCTCTACTAGCCTTTTCCATGTTACCTCTATTCCCTTTCATGACGAAATTTCCCTATCTGTTACTAAATGCTGATTCAAACCCTCACTTGCAGATCTCTCGCAAATGGACCCATCACATAACAACCTTGTTGTTCTTTGGTTTTGGACTTTGGTCTTTGTGGGATGGTTTTAAAGAAGGAGGAGGGTAATAATTCTTTTCATCAAATTTTGGTGTCATTAGGACGATTTACATCCAAGATATTCAGGTTTATCTGATTCTACTTTATTCGCAGGGGTTCGGAAGAATTGGCTGAAGTCGAAGCAGAACTGGTTTGTTTCGTCTTTCTGCATGTCAGTATCACGTTTAGATAAATGCGTTTGTGGTTTGACTTTCTTGTGTTTGATCATAGGATGCTGATTTGAAAGCTACTGGTAAAACTACAAAAGACAGCAGTAAGGTACGGTACTAAACACAACAAGATCACAGACTGCGAGTGGAAGATGTTGTGCTAAATTTTCAAACCATTTGTTCTCTTCGTAGATTGAAGATGAAAACAAAAAGCAGAAAAGGCCATTCCTCACACAATTCTTCTCTCCAATTTTTCTTAAGGTAAATAAAAGATCCTCTGGCTCACAAAAGCAGTAGACTAGACTCTTCTGAATTAGTTTCATATTCTTTCTTCTTGCAGGCATTTTCGATTAACTTCTTTGGAGAATGGGGTGACAAGAGTCAGGTATCTTTGGTTTACACGATTGATTCAATCTAAATGCTTCACATGCTTACCATAACTCTTTTGTCTAGCTTGCTACTATTGGTTTGGCAGCAGATGAAAATCCACTCGGAGTGGTCCTTGGCGGAGTTGTGTAAGTTTCACTGTAAAACTGCTACACTCGTTTTTTTTTGTGTTGGCATCACAAAACGAATATGTTTAAATCAATGTTGCTGACTTTCTTGTGGTTATACAGGGCACAATTTTTGTGCACCACGGCTGCTGTGATTGGGGGAAAGAGCTTAGCATCTCAGATATCCGAAAGAATAGTAAGTATCTCTCGTGATTATACCTTTCTACATTTGAGATGAAAGTCTCATGAAAAATTTAAACTCTAGTCCTCTAATGTTGTTGTTGTTGTTGTTGCAGGTTGCTCTTTCTGGTGGAATGCTCTTCATCATTTTTGGCATCCAATCATATCTTACTTCTATAGAGGCCTAATGCTTCTAATGGTATGCTTCTGAATCCTAATTAATATTTCTTATATTCATCGTATTCATTTTGATAATAGTCTTCTGTCTTTATTGTTCTCCTGAAAAAAAATGCAGGTTTCTAGGGAGAGATGACCACGAAGAAGGTTACCAGCCATAGTTTCTTAGATACTTACTCTTTGATTATATTAGACGTTTACACAAGTGATTTACAAAACAAATCTCGAAGATTGTTACAGTGAAAAATATTTAAATGGGCTGAAACAGCAACCTGACTTCAATAAAGTTTAGCTAAACAGTGTTTGATCTTTTTTTTTTTTTGGAATCTTTGGAATCATGTGGATGTCGAAGTTGTATCCATATGAAGAGATGGTCTCGTTATAGGTTAGTAAAACTAACAATAGCATGCAAGAATTTGATTAAACAAGATGGTCTCCTTAATGTCAAAACACAAAATTACTGTAAGATTTATAAAGGTGAAATATTGGGATAAATGTGGATGATGGTATCGAAGAGCTATGTGTAACTAGTAATATTATGTCTTATTGAATAAGTAGCAGATTATACATCTCTCTGTAACTCGATCCGCAAGACCATTTAGATGATTTATTCCTACGCTTTTATAATTAGATGATCCAGTGATCAATAACTTTAGTGTACATATATAATTAAGATCTAATCATTTAAGCGTAGAAACTATAAGTAGAAGAATCTGCGATGATGTTCCTCAGTCCTCCAATTGTTGATGCCAGCATTATGAACACTCCTACGAAAATGGAGATCTGCCCAATGTACAAAATACCAAAGATAGATAGTTAGATCAGCTACCTAGGCATGTATCATTTTCAAAAATTTATATGCAAGAATAAAAAAAATGTATGCTTACCCAATTGATGAACCAGGTGAGGCTGAATCTCTTTGGTTTCTTGATTATAAGCCACATTATACTTGGGAGCTGAGGTGTCACCATTGATCATATTTCATAGCAAGATTGTTATCTTTACAACACTGAATTTATCTAATGATAGACCAAAGAAGAGAAAGTGAACTTACGAAGAAGGAAGTAGGTGCAAAACCAAATCCTCCAAAGAACCCTAGAAGGTCTCCAAAGAAGGGGAAACTCACTCCAACAAACAATGTAAATGCTGAAATTTCCAATCACAAAGATTCAACTTATAATCAGATTCTCTTAGTTAGATACACTTATTTATATATATATATCATGATGCACAAATTAAAAGTAAAGTCTTACCGACATAAGTAGTCCTAGTGAAAAGCCTCAGGACAATTCCATGCTTAAAACCGAATCTGTTGACCATCATTCTCTCCAAGAGATCAAAGACAGGCATAGCAAACACTTGGTAGCTACCAATAACGTGGACAACAACCATGAGATTAGCAGAAGCAATGAGCCAAGCTGGTCTCTGTAGATTTACCAACACATTGTCTTCCACGTCTTGACCAAAGGCCCAGTAGCAGATTAGAGCCACAGGAAAATAGCAAATGGCGTTGACCAAGTAAGCTCCTACCACGCCTTGCCACATTGGCACTTTTGATGGTCTCTCAGGAGTGGAAGGCATCGTGGCTTGAATCTCCAGAGCCACGGCATGTCCGGCAAAAGCAAAGGAGATCTGACCTAGGGCGTTGAATAATCGGAACGTGAAGTCACTCGGATTTTTGGCCTTGTAATCGTAGCTCACGTCAGGCATTCTTCCATGTGCGATACTTCCTCCCCACGCTATCGTCGAGTAGCTACAGTACGTACATAACAAAGTCTCGTCAGTCTTGACCTAGTTAATTATTGTTTTACAAAAGATCCACAGTAATTTCATTTACAAACTTGACTAAATCATTATTCTCCAATTATTTTGGCTTTTGGTATAGTGTTTTGAATCTGATAAAGACAGAATGATACTATTGTTAATCTAAAGTTTTTGTTTTGTTTTGTTACTTGTTAAATATTATTCCAAAACTGAAAAAAAATATATAATCTACTAACAAATTTTGCATCAGTAAGGTAAAATAATAATTTGGTGATAAGGTGGTGAGAGTGACCAGAGGGACATGACGGAGGCAGCCAAGGAAACGCCGGCGACAGAGTTGAAGTTAGGAAGCTGAGAGAGGAGGAAGTGGACTCCACCGAAGCCGAGGATCCAGTAGGACTGTCGTACAGGAGTGCAGGTGGAACACATGATATCCACGAACTGCTTCAAGCACTTGCCTCCTGTAACCATGTACACGATGTTGCAGCCGACCTGAACGATGAGCTGCTGCGGAAGCACGATCCACGGGCCGAGTTTGGGGCCAAAAGCGTACCGGCCTAGATCGATATACCGGTCAAACCGGGTTCCAGGCACGCACTCATGGAGCTGCACCATTTGCCACATCGTGTTTAACGTCAGTCCCCATGTCATTACCAACACCAATGTCCCTGGTCCCCTGTTTTCACCACACATCACATCACTTTTTTTTTTTTGTATTTTATACAAACCAACAAAAATAATAACATGCAATTTGCTTTCACTTTTTTGCATGTTCTATGAATCTTCTTGCATATATCTCAATTTAGTTGCAACTAGTTCATAATAGTAACAGCTTAAGGTAACGAAAATGTTTAGGATTTTAAAAAAAACTCTTACTAGAAAAGGTCCGAAATGTGAATTTCTATTTACTTGCATGTGTTTAATAACCAATTAGGTTTCGCTTGAAATACAAACATAATTTAGAGAGTACAAACCAGCCAAGGTAAGCCATGGCATAAGGGAGGCTAAGGACTCCGGCGCCGATCATGGCGGTGACAGTGTGGAAGGTAGAGTACCACCACTTGGCTGGCCGTGATGGATCTCCCGCCGTCCATTTCTCGTCGGACTTCCGGTCAGTTTCCTACAAACACAAATTGTAATAAGAAAACAAAAAGGAAAGAAAGAAAGAAGAAGGTGAATGATATGTATGGAATGGAGAAGTACCTTAGAAGGAGAAACCGGGGAAGTAGAGACCATTGTGTATATCTTTGCAGTGTAGTGAGACAATCTCAATTCCCTAAAATTGTGGACAACTCTGAGCTTTTAAGTACTGGCTTTGAGTTTTCAAAATATTAAAAAAAAAAATGAATGGAATTTGTCTTTAAGATCTTACCTAAATTTAAATTCTTAACACTTGTTGGCCTTTTCTATTTTCTTCTCCCCCCCCCCCCCCCCTCGGCTTATTTTATGTCGGATACTCTCATGTAAAGGAACTTTATTTTTTCCGCACTTGTGATCATTCAAAAGTTGAGAAGTTGATCAAATTTTTGATACGTGTAAAACTGTCAAATCCAAGTTATGTGTAAAGAAATTTAAAAGATTGATACCATATTACTAAGTCTTTTACAAAAAAAAAAAAATATTACTAAGAAATTTTAATTTATAAGTAAATAACTAACGTGATATTTGTAAATAAATTCATCTTGATATCTGTCTGTCGACCATATATTTTTGTATGTTTCTTCTGTGTGTCATATAATCAACATTAATAGTTTCTTACCATTAACGTTTGCGTCTACAAATTATGATGGTAATGGCACAATAACATGAAAAGAGTAAAACGCAACCAACAAAAAGCAATCCGCCATAATCTCTCATTGTTGTCGACACTCCAAAGTATAATTGAACTCTTCGTTTACGGTAGATTAGTTTGTGACATTTAATATCATTGAAATATGAATTTTACTTACCAATTTGAATATGATTTTATTAGTAGAATCAAAGCTATAAGAAAATAAAGCCCAACAACCCACCCACAAAAGAGTTAAAGTGTCCCTATTTAGACAGTCTCAATTCCTTACATAAAAAAAGTGGGAAAATTTCGGAAATCAGCTTTTTCAGTTTTTTTTTTGGTATAAACAATCAAATTTGCATCTTTGCTTTTACATAACCCACTTAATAAGTGCATTACTCTCACACAAGAAGTCCTAGCTTATGAGAGAATTGTTTTATAAGAAAAAATCATAGAAAAAAGTTGAGTGCTGGCATTTTCTTGCTTTCATTCTCTCATCTTTTAAGAAAAGGGCCTTTGGTTTCTTTTGTTCCCCCACATGATTCGACTGAAGAAGATGATCAACGGGTGCGATGAATCGTATCGTCTTATCATCATGCCTTCAAACTGGTACTAAGACCAACATTATCAATAGGATCTTAGCTCATTTTTAGTTTAATATTGGGTATTTTTTGATTTAATTTAAATGGTAAATGATGATTTATGCTAAGATCTGGATCTTATTTAAGATCTAGAATTGTGGCTAAGATACGACATGTGTCAATGGACGATTGGTGGAAGGTTTTTTTGTATTATGTGTTTCTTTTTTTTTAACACTTACAATTTTATTAATATGAAAGATCATTGTTTACAATTTTTGTATTATGTGTTCTTATTTAACATTTTTCTTTTAATTTCTTTCGAAAATCTATTTTATTGTTTCATGTTTTAATATTTTAGTTAATAAAATTAAAAAATTGGAACTATTTCGAAGCTTTTAATTTATTGTATTTTAGACTGTCTTAACTTTTTGTAAATGTTATTCTTGTTATGCCTATGCCTGTATCAACCTACCAATACCATCCAAGATAAAAGTTTTATTAAAAAAGTTATAGTCTAATTTGGTTTCTTAAGACTCTTGGAACGTCTAATAAACATTCGACAAAAATTGTAAGATAGGTTGTGTTTTACTCATTCCGAAATATACAAAAGAACTATTAAAATTTCTAGAAATCAAGTTTAAAACTATTATGCTTTTATGTTATAAATTGTATCTCATGTATGTTTTAAAATGATAAATTTGCAATAATTATAAAATTTTCTAAAATTACAAATTTAAATTTTTTTAATTTTTTTTAAAATTATTTTTTTCTAAGATCCTTAACTTAAGATCATACCAATAAAGACATCTCAAAACTAAAAACAAAAATACAACTCTTAACCATTATTTTTTCAAATTTAATAATAAATTAATCTTAAGATTAAAAATTAAGATTTCTTTGATAATGTTGCTCTAATAAAGTTTTTACCATAGACTAATATTTTTATGTGCCACGTGAATGGGACCCGTGCACTCCACCACATCTCTCAAGAGTAACTCACCTCGATTCGGACAATGAGTGAGAGCTCTCTATAGCTTTAAGAGTTGGAGAAGAGAAGTCATGTTTGTTGTCTTCTGATTTCGATTTAGTGCGTGTCATAGTTACTACGTCTTATCAATCATTTATTTTAGTTTTCTTCTAGACAACAACACAACTTAACAATATAGTTTTGGCCATATAAAATACTTCAAGAATG